CACATGAGATCAGGGCACTGGCCTCTACCCTCGCCCTACACGGTAACTGTTCCTTGAACACCATTATGGAAGGATGCTATTGGAAATCTAACATGGTATTTGCTAATCACTACCTAAGAGACATCACTACAGAAGATGTCTCTGGCATTCACCATTTCGACCACTGGTCCTCGCTCAGCAACTGACAGTCCCTCGAGAGGCGTTAAAATATTATCCTCACAAGATTAATATGTACTTTATACATACTCATCTAGCTTATAACTCTACGGAGTTTTAGGGCTATGTATATATGTTCAGCTTAAGTATTCAACCTTAAGCATATACTTGGATATAGTCATTTCAGTGCCTCTATCAGAGTCACCTATATATATATATATATAATTTATATGTATTGTTCAATATATTCATAATGTAATTCCCCTTTAATGGCTTTATATAACCTATGGTTTTCTTTATACAGGAAACATCCTAAATCTAAGCCTTCATGAAGTTCCCGTAGGGGATATTACAGTATATCTATACAAAATCACTAATTATAAATCCAAAGTATTCTGTTACCCACCTCCGTTCCGTAGGATGCTACAAGCAAAAGAGCATGAGTCAGGATAAGGAAAAATATGTAATTTTTAGAGTAAAATTGATATTTTATACTTATCCTGACTCATGAGGTTAGCCCTCCCATCCTCCCCACATAACACTTTGGATTTCCCTGTAAATTCAAGTGTTGGGCTCGCTAAATCAGGAGAGAGTGGAGCACATGGCCAGAGGGTGGCGACACCTTTTCCCGCCAGGGGAGACAAAGGGGAGCAACTCGTGGTGAGTACCAATTAGTGATTTTATTTTGAAGGGAGCTTCAAATAAGGAGATACAAGTGTTCCACTATGTTCGCAAGAAGAAGAAGACAAGCAAAAGAGCATGAGTCAGGATAAGTATAAAATATCAATTTTACTCTAAAAATTACATACTTCATGCACTCATGGGGACTGTGAGGTAGCCTAGTGGTTAAAGTGTTCGCTCATCACGTCGAAGACCCAGGCTTGAGTCCCCATGTGGGCGCAATGTGTGCAGACCATTTTTGGTGTCCCCTGTCGTGATGTTGCTGGAATATTGTTAAAAATGGCATAAAACCTCACTCACTCACTCACTCAAGGTCCAGACTCGATTATGGGATGGATGGGATGTTAATAGTGAATGTTAATTTTTAAACTTATCCCATCTCACGACTTGCACCTCTCTGTCTTGCTTCGACTTTTAGTGGAACGACTGTAAACTATTTTCCATAGGCCTCCTTGTCCATTCATCCGTGCACTCCATGCTGCTCTCCTTAATTAGCTTCCTAGTTCCTATAAAGCTTGCAGCATGCTCCACTAATTGCCCATGTGACTACCTTGAATGATCATTCTCTTTCTTGTCACACGACTGTGTGGACGTGCTGTAAATTAGGGACATTATTTCACCCTAACATCATGGGGAAAACTGATAATCAGTCAAGGAAAAGGAAAGTTTGTGCTCAATGCAAGACGAATTATTCGTCCCTCGACCCTCACTCATCTTGCAGTGACTGTATTGGACAATGTAACTGGAACAAACGATGTGGCAAGTGTAATTCACTAATAGATGAGGATTTTAAGGCCTACCTTCGTGTTTGCTCCCAGAGAATCGCCGATAGGGACAGGAAATCAACAGAATCTGATCCCACTCCCGCCAAGCGTATCAAGCTACAGCGACAGAAAATCGTATCTTCACGCAAGAGAGCGACGTCTGTGGTTCAAGAGGATTTTATGGACGCTTCGTCAGATTCTTACTTATCTGAGGACGTTCAGCACCTATTACGTACGCATCAATCACCTCCTTCCATAGCGTCCGATCACTCGCGGGTGGTTGTGATCGACAATTCTTCGTTGCCTGTCCCATCTACACTACAGAGATTCAATCAACCAGTCTGTTCAGACAATCAACAGTGGTTTGGTATATAAATCATCTAGGCTTGACAGGCTCGGCGAATCTGCTACAATGGGCGATCAGGTTCTTCCATCTCATCGACTTACTCAACATCGTAGCCAGAGCCAGACACATTCCCGGGGTTAAAAATGTGATCACCGATGCCTTGTCCTGATCCAACCGACAGAGTGGAAGTTACTGCCCCATATCTTTCAGTCGATGATCTACCCGTTATCACGGCCTCAAATAGATCTGTTCGCCACAAGGTTCAACAACCAACTTCCAAAGTCCGTATCAGCAATCCCAGACTTCTTGGCGTGGGACCTCGACGTGTTGGCAATATCATAGGAGGGTCTCAATGCCTACGCGTTCCCCCCTCCAGCACTGCAACCAAAAGTAATACAGAAACTATTGGCCACCAGCAACATACTACTGCTTTTGGTCGCACCCTTCAACCTAAGAAGCCTGGCAGAGCCAAACCAAGTACCACTTCCCAACCGGGATGACCTACTTCTTCATCCTCACTGCGGAACTGCGCCACGGGTCACCTCAGACCCTCACTCTACACGTTTGGCGCATCTTCAGAGGTCTCTCATAGCTAAAGGGCTACTCTTGCCGAATAGCCACAGCTATCACTTCACCGCATCGTACTTCGACCCGTTCCTTGTACGACAACAAGTGGAAGAAGTTTGAAGACTATTGCAAGCCTAGGGGAATTGCATCTCCCACTTCCACCTTGGCTCAGGTTGCTGCTGAGTTTCTCCAGCATCTCCGCAGTACTAAGAAACACAAGGGTACTATCTATGTTAGCTACCTACTTAGCCTCCATCAACTCGGTTTTGGCTACCACCACGGGCACGAAGATTTCCACTGTTTCCGAGTTGCAGAGTCTACTATGCTCCTATAGACTCTCTGACCAGTCCAGGAAGTTCAGACCTCTAGCCTGGGATCTGTCCGTCGTCCTTCGTCATATGATTTCTACAGACTATGAACCTTTAGAAGACCATGACTTCGAACAAGTGACATTCAAGACATTTTTCCTGGTAGCTTTGGCTACCGCTGCTCGTATATCTGAACTGCATGCTGCATTCGAGTGGAAGAAGCATTGCAAGGCTTTCCTGGGTCTCTGCTGGGACTTCATTACGAAAAACCAACTGCCAGGGCAACCGGACCAGATGTTTACCATTCCCCCATTGTCCACCATTCTTGGGCCTGATGATAATGAAGATTTGACACTCTGTCGTGTTAGGGCTCTACACGTTTACCTTGCTGCCTCCAAGGATCGTTGATGGCTACGGAAGCGCCTCTTCATACCCTTGTCGAACGCTTCAATAACTGAGGTTTCCCGGACCACATTGGACTTCTGGATGCGTGCCACAATCCTGCGAGCCTACACCTTTGCAGGGGTGCCTCCTCCAGCCGCTTCGAATCCTCATGAGACTCATAGCAACTGCTCCTTGACCGCTATCATGGAAGGTTGCTTCTGGCGTTCTGATCCAGTGTTCTCATCACATTACCTGCGAGACCTGTCTGTCACGGATGTCCAGGGACTACACCAGTCCAGACATCTTGTACTGGCTCAGCAGCTAACATTGGCCCAACAACGCAGATGAGGGACGGTTCCACATACGCGTTACTACTTCCTTGTATATATTGAATAAAAGTTGAACTATATCTCAACCTTTTGTTCTCATTATATGGGTTTAAGAACTATTTCTCTTGGCCTCCATACCAAGGTATTGGAATGCGGCCACCTAGCATGGCCCTACGGACCTGAGGCACAATCAGCATGACAATGCAGAGGTGTTCGACATTCACGCTTACTGACCTCTACTCCACGGAGCAATAACGTCAGTGAAGTGTGACACTCCCGAATCCCAGTGGATTTTGTTGCGTTCTGCCTCCAAAGTTGCCGGGCACATCCTTTGACTAAGCATCCTTTGACGTTAAACCTTGGAGATGCCGAGTTGTGTTTCTCTTTCACCCGCCTCGGTCGGCCTTCTTGAAGCAGGGGCTGGCCCGATTCTAGTCGCAAGACTTTAATTACAGGGGTACCTTGTAAATCGTGGCGAGGCGAGGCTTACTTGCCGAGTTGCGTCCCTTGTCTTGTACAAGGTTGCGGCCGAACACCACATCGCTCGGGAGCACCCATCTCCCTGGGAGTCGTTGTGCTTAGTAAGCCAAGGGGTTCTGGAGAACCCACTACAAGCATAGGAGTTGCGTGCATGCGTAACAGGCCTCCCTTGTACATCGCTATCTATGGTTGTCATCAGTCCACACAGCTCAAGACCAACTGTTCGCACTGTCCAGACAGAAGGGTAATCTGCGGCCCGCTGTCCAACTGTGGGATAAGTGCAAGTTGTGAGATAGGATAAGTTTAAAAACTTGGAAATTTTAATATAAATTGTATATTTATATACTTATCCTATCTCACGCGATGGATGCCCGCCCAGCCTCCCCACTACTCAGATTACAACGTTGGCTCCAAGATGAGAATGATCATTCAAGGTAGTCACATGGGCAATTAGTGGAGCATGCTGCAAGCTTTATTAGGAACTAGGAAGCTAATTAAGGAGAGCAGCATGGAGTGCACGGACGAATGGACAAGGAGGCCTATGGAAAAAAGTTTACAGTCGTTCCACTAAAAGTCGAAGCAAGAGAGAGAGGTGCAAGTCGTCAGATAGGATAAGTACATGAATATACAATTTATATTAAAATTTCCAAATTGGTTGGTCCCTTAATGATTTATATGAATTGTATTTGATCTGTCTTAGTGTATAGAGAATCTCAGCCCCATTTTTAAGATATGAAATATATCAATACATGTCAATAAAAATTTAAACATGGTGGCTTACAGAATAGTTTCAAACTTTTATATAAACAACAAATGTTTATAGGTACATCAAAAGATATGGGGGCACGATTCTTTTTATTGTCTAGAATTATTCTTCTGCCATTATGTTTGTTGATAGAGAATGTCAATCTTGATATTAAATATATTGCAATTTTCAACACAGTATTTGTTTGACGCTCAAAGCGTTGTTGTTATTATTATATAGCTTGATACAGAGCCAATCCAAAGGCGGGTGCACATTGACAAGACAGCCAAGCGTGTGAGACAAGCTTTAGCCAGTGTAGGATGGAGAGGTTCACCTTTAGCACAAAAGTGTAGGATGGGTAAAAGGTCACCTGTTATTTGTCACTAAAGGATCAATATTGCTCATTAGGACTGTTATGATAGTTTTTGGAATTCTGAATTAAATATTTTTTGGCATATACAAGACTTTTGAAATTAGTGGTAGTGCTCTTTTCAAGAACTTTCAATGTCTTCACCAAACCACATAGATAACTGGTGTACTGGTGCCTTTTGTAGTTGGAATTCTGAATAAACTACTTTTGGCGTTTTGTTTGACTTAAAATAGTGCTCTTTTGTGAACTCTAAAACTGCCCTGTTTCTTTTGCACATAGATAGATGTACTTGTCTTTTGGTAGATTTATTTCTGAATAAAATATTTTTGGCTTCATAGACTGAAATTGGTGGAGTGCTCTTTCTGGAGCAGAACTTAAAACCTTTCAATACTCTCCTTCCACTTTTCTATATACACACCTAAATATTTGACATAATCATAGGTTGAATCATAATATTGCCAGTATTTTCAGCAGGGATAAGACTTTTCTTCATGTTCACTTCATATACAGTTAATCAAGACTTCCAAGCCAACAATATTTGTATTATGCCCTACTGTGTGTCATATCTTCATAGTGGATTCTGCCGAACTTGATAGTAGGTTGAATCTGCCTTGTGATCACCTGACTCCCCAAATGTACTGTTGTCATCATTGTGACTGGTTGACTGTCTCTGTGATGGGAGGATTGTGTTTCAGGACATGAAGCTGGCTCAGTGGCTGCACATCACCCTGTTTGAGAATCTCAGTCTGTACCTGCTGTCTGCCTACCTGGATGTTTTGCAGACACTCAAAGCTAAGGTAGCATGTTTCAGCCATATGGTGGTTAGGAGCTTGTCGCGGCAGGACTAAAGTGATCATCTGGTAGTGCTGATATGTGATTAATTTGGCTGATAATGTGACGTGGGGCTCTGATGATGGACATTGTTGTTCATACTATGGAGCATTGGTTTGCCTGGCCCATGTTTGTCACCAAGATATAGCCGGATTGGCGACTTATGTGTAACAGCATTTCCCTCTCTTTTAATATTTTGAAGAGATACATGTGGTAAACATCACTTCAGGCTTTCTGCCAGCATTAAAGTGATTAAGTTCACAAGCGCTGACAGAGATGGAAAAATTGTTCAAAGCTTCATTAAACCCAACTCACTCACTCACTCATTCGTGACATTTCTTTGGAATCTTCAGGTCCCCTCCCTCGTAGATCGCATGATGGCCGCGACAGCAAGTCGGACACCACCTGTCACATCGGAGGCTCTTAACCTTCTGCTGAAGAGGCCATGGGACCCAGTGCACAACACACTCTCACAGCAGAAGCCAGTCAGTATTCTGTATTGCTTTGTCAGTTGTCTACTAGAATTTTTGAATAATGAAAAGCTGATCTAAGAGTCTGATATTCCTCTTTCTATTATAGTAATTCTCCAAAATATATATATGGAAAATGTCAGTTGATTTGAAGAATTATGATACCTGTTATTAAATACCAAACCCATGAATTTCTAGGTTAGAATTGGTCTTCAGTATCCCATGCTTGTCATAGGAGGCGACTAGTGGGATCTGTGGTCAGGCTTGCTGACTTCGTTGACACACGTCATCGTATCCCAATTGCATAGATAGATGCTCATCCTGTTGATCACTGTATTGTCTGGTCCAGACTCAATTGGTTAAAATTCAGTAATTATTTAGCCTCTCACTATCTGTTGATTATTGACTTTGATAAATCCATAAGCAGTGTTGCAATTGTGCAGCTGAGAGGCCTCAGTCATATTATGCAAATCTCTGCAGTCAAAGAAACTTGGCAATAAAATTATCCACTGAGGTTCAGAATCACATGTTGTACTGTAGATGATTTATGTTCTCAGACTTTGGTACCCAACCAGAAGATAGTAACAAAATACTGAGAGGAATTTGGTAAAGTTGGCGGCATTTAAGCTGTAGGATAATAAGAGTTAATGAGCTATAGTCAGGGATGAGAATTTTCCCACGGAATTCCGGGAATTTAATAAGGCCAAGGGTAATTTTTGTTTTTCTCAAAACTCATGTGGCCCCTCAGATCCCTGTATTCAAGTTTGACTCAAAACTTGTTCTCATCCTGTATAGTGACTCAGTGTTATGTTTAGTTTATCCTGGCTGTTTATTCTGTTACAGATAAAAGTTGTGATGTATATTATACAGCATGTGACCTTTTTCACAATGATAAATCATATCCTTCACAGAAGAAGTTGCCTGGCAACCCGCTCCTCCTGATAGCCCCAAGTGGCCCTATCCACTCCAGTATCGCATATTCCAAGAGGAGCAAGTTCTGGAATGCCCAGCTGTCCAACTTGGGCAAAGTGATCCCTGTTACCATGCACACAGTCAACGGAGGCAGCGGGGTCGGCATCGCACAGTGCCTCGAACACATGATAGGAGCTGTCAGGACCAAGGTGCTGGAGGTGAGGAAACGTGTAGAGTTATGAGGCATTATAGTTTATTATCCCCTGCTGCACGTTTAGAGCGAAGCTAAACGTCCATCTGTATGTACGAATTGGAATATCTTAAGAACCATTGACTAGTTTCGTTTCATATTGGGTACCTAGGTTCATTGCAGTATGCAAAAGGTCCCAGTCAGGTTTGGTCAAGGTCACAAGGGGATGTTTTACCCTTGTCAGAGAGATATATCAGGTACCATTCACTGGATCTTCTTCATATTTGACACCAAGCTTCATCTAGGGAAGGTGCAGGGCCCAGTTGATTTTGGTGACCTTCATGTAATTTTCAAGGTCACAGCGACTCTCTGAAGATTTTAGCATGTTAACCTGCATGTTAAGATTGTCAGCAAGATATCTCAAGAACAGTTCACTGGATTTTCTTCATAAACTTTCAAGACTTCTCTTGAATGCTTTTTGATAAGCAATTTCTTTATTACTGTTTTTGCATATCTCATACACTATGACATGCGTGTCAAGGTCAAATTGAGTCTTGAAAATATTTGTGTTTGAACAACTACAGAGCAAGATATCAAGAGAGGTTGACTGGTCATTTTTTTGTTGACATTTAACTTCATCTTAAGATACGACCTTCACTTTCATTATTTTTTAAGTTTGATTTGATAATTTGCAGTGGGGGATTGTGTCATCTTAGTGACAATGCTTATTTTTCCTTATCCTGACTCATGCTCTTTTTGCTTGTCTTCTTCTTCTTGCGAACATAGTGGAACACTTGTATCTCCCTAATTGAAGCTCCCTTCAATGTAAAATCACTAATTAGTACACCACGAGTTACCTCCCTTCCACAAGCGCGGGAACGAGGGCGCCACCTCTACCCATGTGCCTCACTCTCTCCTTCTTCGCCCAGTGAGCTGGACGTGAGAGCGCCTGTGTCTCCCGACACACTATATCCTTGGATTATATTTAGTTAGTTACCTCGTATAGACATCTATAGAGGTTTAGCTAGTATCCTTCAACAATTATATATTGATATTTAGTCGTGTTTCTACTGTTTATTCACGGACGCCATGTTTGTTCTGTGGATTACGTTGATGAAAATTCTGTACTGTTGCAGATTACGTTTTTATTCTGCTGCTGATCCGCATTTAATATGCCCTAGCTGTACTGCGCCATGTTCATTTTATTCACGTGGCAGTTGCGGTACTAATTTATCCAATTCTGCCTTTAATAAATAAATACTTTATGTTTGAGACGCAGCGCAGCAGATAGGTCATTATTATGCAGAGTCTAGCCATGACTGATACACCTGAACCTCGCCAGTCTACTGCGGTTGGTCGACCCCCTCCCGTCTGGTATTCCGCTAGAGTGGTGGAGAGGCGGGGACGTAGTCCGCCGGGCCTCCAAGAAGCGTCCTGCTTCCCAGACATCCCATCGTCGCGAGCCGAAGACTAGAGGGCTTCTACTGCATCTCAACGCAGACTTCACACCCCAGGGCAGCGTCGACCTCTGAGGGAAATCAACGAAGTCTACTAGAACTTTCTCAGCCGAGATTGTTCCGTCGCTTGAGATTTGGGCCTGTATGATGATCAGCCGATCATCATACCTGATGTACATCAAAAGAATGACCGATGTCGGCAACAGTGATGTCAGCGCAGATCAACATGCAGCCTGATGTACTAACGCTGATATTCGATGATCTTCCTGAGGGTCCCGTCGCTACCAACACTCAGCGCCAGACTTCGCACCCCAGGGCAGCCGTCCTCTGAGGGGAAATCAACGAAGTCTACTAGGACTTTCTCAACCGAGATTGTTCCAGCCGCTGAACTGGGCCTCTACGATGATCAACCGATCATCATCCCCGGCGTACGCCACAAGAAGCGACCAGTGACATCAGCAGAGATCGCCATGCAGCCTGATGTCTCTACACTGATGTCAGACGACTTCCCTGAGGGCTCAGCAGCTGTCATCGCAGAGAGGGCACCGACCACTTCGTCGCAGACCATCCCAGACGAGCTGTTGCGGCAGATCATGACCATGATGGAGGGCCACTACAGACGGAGAAGCAGCCAGCCCAGGGCCTGAGCAGCAACGAGACAACACCCCAGAGGCACCCCCAGTCAGCGTAGCAGCCACGACGAAGCAGCCCGAGAAGGAAGTCACAGACCACCTCGACGGAAGGACCCAGATGTACAGTCTTCGCGAAGGCTTTCGCGAAGACGGGAGAGATCAAATCACCGTCCCTCGGCCTCATCCTCAGATGCGGACTCAAGGTCATCCCATAGACGCAGATCACCTAGACGATCTCCACGCCGTTCACCACGACGATCTCCACGTACATCACCACGTCGATCACCTGCGCAGGTCACCACACAAGTCGGCAGCGTCACCCGACATAGAGATAGCAGCACACAGGTCACCATCAGAAGAGCATCAACCTCTCATCACCGATGCTGGTACAGAAGATGATGGAGACATCATCTTCTCAGACGCTGAGATAAGATATTGGATGGTAAACAACCTAGATTTATCTTCACCGTCCAAGAGTGGCAACTCAGCGCAGACATACCTGATGAAGGAAGACGATGTAGGCGTCGCTCACCCTACCTCCGATCGACCCGATTGCTGAGGTGCCACAGAATGTGGACACAGCCTACCATAAAGGCATGTAAGTTCAAGCGCCAGAGGCGTATGTTCTTTGGCCTTAATAGATCTAGAGCGATCAATGAGATTCTTATCACCAGATTTCGGTGACCACGACACTTCTGAAGATGATAGGATGATCTACTCGGCTCTACTTATGCAGAACCAGCAAGAACCACACCCTGTATGAAGCTAACGCTCATATATTGATCGGACTCTAGACACTTCGATAAGGAAGTCCCAGGCGCCTCATGCGAAGAACTAGAGCCTCACCAGTTACAAGGGACGCCACGGAGGAGAAGCGCCACGACCCACATCCTGTTGAACACAGAGGTGGTTCACGAAGCAAGCATGAGTCAGGATAAGTATAAAATATCAATTTTACTCTAAAAATTACATATATATATACTGATCGGGGCTCTGATTTCGATACCTTCGCGAAGGTCGCCGAGGCTAAAGTGGCTCCAAGTCTGCTTCACCCAGAAGATCTAGAAGGGATACTTCGAGAGCTTCGTGAAGTCTCTCGGCGTTCACCGAGGAAGTATCCTCCAAGAGGTCTCCATATACTAGCCACTCGTCATATATAGCTACTCGTCAGTCCGTTCAAGACATCGCATAAAGTGTCTATCAACTGTATGCCATATGCCGTCTATAAGCCTAATGCGAAGACAATTGCACAGGCTATTTACAACACAGAACGTCGCTATATAAATTAGTCAACGGCGTTTCATAGATATTCACAGAAATCAACTTTCGTTATAGATTGCTAGAATATGCTATCCCACACTACGATCACGATTATCTACATGCGTGACCATTACGCACAGATCTGCAGACAATTCAATATCGAAATTGAACAGCAACCTGTTACAGCGAGTATAACTCATAATCGCCAACGTTTCTGAGAAGTAATATGTACAACAAGTTCAGCTTTAATTCTACAATTATGACGATACATTCATGTATACAGTCTACAAGCTGACAACTTGCAAGTTTATTGTACCTTTATATAAGGAAGTCGGAATTATATCCAAAACTGAAGTTACTTTCCACGACAGCCAGGAAAATAACCTACCCAGCATTAATATTACAGAGCGAGGTATTTGGCGCCCGGAGGTTTCAGCTGGCGTTTACCATTAACCCTCGAAACACGTGGTCACTTTCGGGTAACTTCGAAAGCTACGGTGAAGACCGACGATTATGCTAATATAAACGGCGGCAAGATTTTATACAAGGTTTTTCCTGCTACACGGTGACATCACTGGCGGGTGGTATTCTACAGAATCAAAATGCCTTGTTCTGATTGGACCCGCGATGGACAACGACACTCCACGCGAAGGTCGGTCTTAGTTCACAGTTCAAGACTCACGCGTTACAAGTGACAACTATATATCAGTGAGCGAGCAAGCCTCCTTACAGTCCAGTTAATCTGAACCTTCATGATTGGGCTGCTTTCTTCAGGTTAGAGACCTCCCCTGTCAAGTTAGGGACGAGGGCGGCAGTCAGGCGATTTTACATAAAGTTCAACGAGGACAGACACACCTGGTTGTGCACCTACATCGTCAAGGACTTCGCATGGCGAATTTACCTGAGCGGACGGAATACAAGTGGATCTAAATCCACAGCGTCTCAGTCTACAACTGAATTTCATCATCAAACTACTAACACAACTAGATGGTGAGTAAACCTACTTAAGCTTTCTGATTGGAGGATTAAAGCGGAAGTTTCACGCTCCAACCGGGATCTGTATATAGTGCTCCAACACCTCACAAGTGAGGTTTATGAACACGCCTGGATGACATACTTGGACTTCATGATAACGATGATTCTATCACGATGGCCAGCAAGAGCACTGTAAATTTATCTCCACCCGAACCAAACAGGAGGGAAAAATGCATCAGATTATTTCCTCTATATTCAAGTTACTGCAGAGCCGAAGTCTCATGTACTACCATCTCCTTGGATCAGAACTGTCATACTATGTGCCTACAAGACTGATGGACCCGATCCGACTCTCCATGAGCTTCTAATACTCATGATATTAGAAGCTAACTGCTACAATTGATCTACACAAATGTTATTTGAAATTATGGAGGGGTTATTTCTGGAGATCCGATATGGTGGTTGCCAACCATTATCTGAGAGATATCACCGTCAAGGACGCCTCAGGTATCCACCAATTCGGTTCCAGGGTCCTCGCTACAACAGTTGACAGTTCCTCGAGAAGATAAGTCAATCTTACAGATTTCTACTTATCTTATAACAGTACTAAATAGCTACATGCTATATATAATTTGCTTAAGTTCTTTTTATCATCACAGTACTATGATTATTACATCATACAATATATAAGTTAACAACTCTACAGAGTTTGTTATTATATATTTACCTTAAGTTAATCATATCTTAAGCGTAGTACTATGGTTGCATTATAAATGCATTAGCTAATAAACTCTACAGAGTTTTTGGCTATTATATAATTAGCTTAAGTTAATTATATCTTAAGCATAGTACTATACACATATTATAAAATATATTAGCTTACAAACTCTACTGAGTTTTGCTATTATATAGGTAGCTTAAGCTTATTCATATCTTAAGCTCAGTACTATGTTTATATCATATAAGTATATTAGCTAACAAACTCTAAAGAGTTTTTGCTAATTGGCTTAAGTTTCATCATATCTTAAGCATTATGGTTACATTATAACATGTATTAGCTAACAAACTCTACGGAGTTTTGCTATTATATATGTAACTTAAGCTTATTCATATCTTAAAGCAGTACTATGTTTATATCATATAGGTATATTAGCTATCAAACTCTAAAAGAGTTTTGCTATTATATATTTGGCTTAAGTTTCATCATATTTTAAGCTTTATGGTTACATTATAACATGTATTAGCTAACAAACTCTCTGGAGTTTTTGCTATTATATATGTAACTTAAGCTTATTCATATCTTAAGGCAGTACTATGTTTATATCATATAGGTATATTAGCTATCAAACTCTAAAAGAGTTTTGCTATTATATATTTGGCTTAAGTTTCATCATATTTTAAGCTTTATGGTTACATTATAACATGTATTAGCTAACAAGCTCTCACGGAGTTTTGCTATTATATATGTAGCTTAAGGTTTCCTTCATATCTTAAGCTCAATACTATGTTTATATCATATAAGTATATTAGCTAACAAAACTCTAAAAGGTTTTTGCTATTATATATTTAGCTTAAGTTCATCATATCTTAAGCAGTATGGTTACATTATAAAATGTATTAGCTAACAAACTCACTGGAGTTTTGCTTTTATATATATAGCTTAAGTTTAATCATATCTTAAGCTCAGTACTATGTTTTTAACATAAAAGTATATTAGTTAAAAACTCTAAGGAGTTTTTTTGCTATATACATTTAGCAAGTCTAATCATATCTTAAGCTTAATACTATGGTTACAATATAAGTCTATTAGCTAATAAACTCTACAGAGGTTTTGGCTATTGTATATGTAAGCTTAAGTTAATTATATCTTAAGCACAGTACTATACTCATATTGTAAAATATATTAGCTAACAAACTCTACAGAGTTTGCTATTATATATGTAGCTAAAGCTTATTCATATCTTAAGCTCAGCACTATGTTTATATCATATAAGTATATTAGCTAACAAACTCTAAAGAGTTTTGCTATTATATAATTAGCTTAAGTTTAAGCATATCTTAAGCTTAAGTACTATGTTTATATCTTAAAAGTAATTTAGCTAACAAACTCTAAGGAGTTTATACTAGCAATTTAACAAGCTTAAGTCTATTAGTCTTAAGCATTGTATTAATGTTATATATACTTTATCATAATAAGTACATTGTAATAAGTACATTGTAATAACCTTTATATGGCAGCTGATAAGTTAGCAGCAGGAATTCATCAGTTCAGTGCCTTTATGAAGTTCCCATAGGGTTATTACAATCATCACAGTTCAAATCACTAATTATTAAAATCCAAAGTATTATATATTCCCACCTCCTTTTCCGTAGGATTCTACAAGCAAAAAGAGCATGAGTCAGGATAAGGAAAAATATGTAATTTTTAGAGTAAAATTGATATTTTATACTTATCCTGACTCATGAGATAAGCCCTCCCATCCTCCCCACATAACACTTTGGATTTCCCTGTAAATTCAAATGTTGGGCTCAGTATATGAGGAGAGAGTGAGGCACATGGGTAGAGGTGGCGCCCTCGTTCCCGAGCTTGTGGAAGGGAGGTAACTCGTGGTGTACTAATTAGTGATTTTACATTGAAGGGAGCTTCAATTAGGGAGATACAAGTGTTCCACTATGTTCGCAAGAAGAAGAAGACAAGCAAAAAGAGCATGAGTCAGGATAAGTATAAAATATCAATTTTACTCTAAAAATTACATGCTTTTTTTAAATGGTTTACGGATCAACCAAACACCCCACATCAGGATAAATCAGGGAACAGAACATCTAATTATAATCATTTATTGTTACTGCTGAGTCTTATAACATGGATAATCACGCTTGTTATTATAAAAAATGTATGCATGCTTAATGCTTGTAAATGCTTACCCCCAAATAATTATCGTCACTGTAAAGCCAATGTTTCCATTCCAGGTGTATATTATTAAACTTGCCAGTTGAAAATTGGAAAATTTGAATTTTTTGGATTTCTTGTTCCTAGGAGAGTAAAGTTTATTGAATATCCACACAAAAACTCACATCGATAAGCAATGTAAGCACTCCCTGGCCTAAAATATTACCTGAGCTAAGTCCTGATCTCAGATTGATATAGATGGAACTATGAAGAAAAAGAGGTCTATTATGCCTAATGAAAATGCAAATCTTGAAATGCTGACATATATTTCTGCTTTCTTTCAGTCAAAGAGTCATTCCCAGAATCGACCCATCATTCTTATTGGGTGGGATGTTGGAGCTCTTGTTGCCTGTCATGTGAGTTACAGATATTTTAAAACAAGAATATGTCAGAACAGTTATTGTTTAGATTTGTTTTGTTGTCTTCTGATTCAGAATGTTAACAGTCATTGGGAAAGCAAAATAACTAAGTATCACATTGTTCTTGTATATCCTATATATGACTATGATCTATGTGCATGTTGCAGGTTGCGCTGGTGGAGTTGGTGACGGCTGTGGTGTGTCTGGGGTTCCCTTTCACAGGCATCAGTGGAGGAAGAGGGGTGGGTATTCAGTTGTGGAGCAAGAGGGGTGTGTTTTCATATTGTAGTGGATAGAGAGGGGTTGTATCCAGTTGTTGTGGAGCAAGATAGGGATGTTTTCTGTTTGTATTAAAGTAAGAGGGTAGTAGTGATGAAAGAAAAGATATGTTTAGATAGTAATGAACAGGGCTCCAGATAAAGGCCGTATCGGCGTATGTACGGATAAAAAATATGCACAATACGGTAGGAAATAATTTAGAAACAGTAGCAGATACGCACCACAGCAGTGGTGTATGATCTTAGAATCATTTACAGACGTATTTATCTGAAAAAAGTATTATTTTTCCTTATCCTGACTCATGCTCTTTTTGCTTGTCTTCTTCTTCTTGCGAACATAGTGGAACACTTGTATCTCCCTAATTGAAGCTCCCTTCAATTTAAAATCACTAATTAGTATTCACCACGAGTTACCTCCTTTCCACAAGCGCGGGAACGAGGGCGCCACCTCTACCCATGTGCCTCCACTCTCCTTCTTCGCTTTGCACAGTGAGCTGGACGCAGGAGCGCCTGTGTCTCCGACACACTATATCCTTTGAATTATATTTAGTTAGTTACCTCGTATAGACATCTATAGAGGTTTAGCTAGTATCCTTCAACGATTATATATTGATATTTAGTCGTTTTTCTACAGTTTAGTCACGGGGACGCCCGTGTTTGTTTCAGTGGATTACGTTGATGAAAATTCTGTACTATTGCAGATTCGTTTTTTATGCTGCTGCTGATCCGCCTTTAATATGATGTCACCGGCCATGTTTATTATATTCACATTGCAGTTGCGGTACTAATTTATCCAATTCTACCTTTTTATTAATATTTACTTTGCGTTTGGCACGCTTTACAGCAGATAGAGTCGCGTATGCAGAGTCTAGTATGACTGATACACGGAACCCCTCGCCAGTCTACTGCTGTTGGCCGACTCCCCTCCCGTGTGGTGTTCCGCTAGAGTGGTGGAGAGGTGTGGGACGTAGTCCGCCATCTCCAAGAAGCATCCTGCTTCCCCAGACATCCCATCGTCGCAGCAGAAGACTAGAGGGTTTTTTCTACTACATGTCGGCACAGATCAGCATGCAGCCTGATGTACCAACGCAGATATGCGATGATCGTCCTGAGGGTCCCATCATTACCAACACCCAGCGCAGACGTCGCACACCCAGGGCAGCGTCGACCTCTGAGGGAAAATCAACGAAGTCTACTAGGACTTTCTCAACCGAGATTGTTCCAGCCGATGACCTGGACCTCTACGATGATCAGCTGATCATCATCCCGTCACGCCACAAGAAAGCGACGGTGACAGCTATTATAACGACATCAGCAGAGATCACCATGCAGCCTGATGCCTCCACACTGATGTCGTACCACGATTTTCCGGTGGACCCCTCCATTAACACGCCAGATAAAGCACCCGGCGACCACCTCGCCGCAGACCATCCCAGAAGACATGATGCGACAAATTATGAACATCATGGAGGACCAATATCTCGCGGTAGCAGGGTCGAAGCCAGCGAAGGCTCCAACGTACAACACCCCAGAGGCACCCCCGTCCAGCGTAGCAGCCAGGGCGATGTCACCTTCGCTGAAGGAAGTCCGCGGACCACCTTGACGAAGGACCTAGATGTACAGCCTTAGCGGAGCGGAAAAGGACCTAGATGTACAGCCTTCGAAGGCGGAAAGAACCTAGATGTACAGCCCAGCGGAGGACTTCGCGAAGGCAGGATCAGATCATCACCTTGGCGCGGTTTCATCCCTAGATGTGGACTCGGACCATCAGACATCCACGGAAGCCTTCGCGAAGGTCATATCGTCGTTCCCGGTTGGACGCAGAGGAAGCCAGCGAGGCATGCATGTGGCGAAGGACACCTGAATCAGATCATCATCATCTAGAAGGACATCGAGGGACTATACAAGAGCTTGGCGAAACTATCAACGTTCCCCTCACAAGTCTCGAGAAGATCAACCCATAGACAAGTTGATCATAGATATCAAGTATAAGAACTACAATCGTATATTGGTTCTGTTGAATCCATGGCCGAGGCGATATGTTGCGCTGGCCTAAATAGATCTAGAGCGATCAATTAGACACTTATCACCAGACTTACAGTATACGACTTCTGAATATGATAAGATGATCCATGCGACCCTACTTAGGCAAGCAGGCGATCCCACATCCTGTTAAACACAGAGGCTGTTCCGCGAAGCAAAAGCTCATATATATATTTTATATATATATATATACTAATCGGGCTTTGACTTCGACACCTTCGCGATGGTCGCGAAGGCTAAGTAACTCAAGTCTACTTCACCCAGAAGATCTAGAAGGGATACTTCACGAGGAAGTCTCCTCCAAGGTTTCCATATACCAGCCACTTCGTCATATATAGCTACTCGTCAGTCCGTTCAAGGCGTCGCATAAGTTGATTATCAACTGTATGCCAGATGCGAAATCTATAAGCCACTGCCGAAGATAATTGCTCAGGCTATTTACAACACAGAACGCCGCTGTATTATTAGTCAACGACATTTCATAGATCTTCACAGAAATCAACTATTCCGTATAAATTGCTAATATACAATCCCGGACGGACGATACGATTATCTACATGCGTGACCATTACGCGATATCTGCAGACAATTCAATATCGAAATTGAACAGCAGCCTTGTTACAGCGCAGTATAACTCTTAATCGTCAAAGTTTCTGAGAAGAAATATGTACAACAAGTTCAACGTTAATTCTACAATTATGACGATACATTCATGTATACAGTCTACAAGCTCACAACTTGCAAGTTGTTTATACCCTTATATATAAGGAAGTCGGAATTATATTCAAACTGAAATTATTTTCACGACAACCAGGAAAATAACCTACCCAGCATAAAATTACAGAGGCGAGATATTTTCATACGGAGGTTCACAGCGGTTACCATTAACCCTCGAAACACGTGGTCACTCGGATAACTTCGAAGCTACGGTGAAGACCGACGTTTATGCTAATATCAACGAATTTGAAAAGAATTTATTCAAGGTGGGTTTTTCCCGCCACACGGTGACATCACAGCGGGTATTATACAGAATCAAAATGCCTTGTTCTGATTGGACCGCGAGGGACAACGACCTACACAGAGGTCGATCTCTATTCACAGCTCAAGACTTACGCCACAAGTGACAACTATATATCAGTGAGCGAGCAAGCCTCATTACAGTCCAGTTAACCTGAACATTCATGATTAGACTGCCTTTCTTCAAGTTAGAGACCTCCCCTGTCAAGTTAAGACGAGGGATCGCAGTCGAAGCGATTTACATAAAGTTCAACGAGGACAGACACACCGGGTGGTGCACCTACATCGCCAAGGACTTCGCAGGCTTAATTACCTAGACGAAAGATACAAGTGGATCTAAATCCACAGCGTTTCAGACTACAGCTGAATTTCATCGTTTAACTAACACAACTAGATGGTTAGTAAACCTACTAAACTTCTGTTTGGAGAATAAAACGGAAATTTCACGCCTAACCTGGGGATATGAATATAGTGCTCCAACACCTCACAAGTGAGGTTTATGAACACGCCTGGATGACATACTTGGACCCCATGATACGATGATTCTATCAAGATGGCCAGCAAGAGCACTGTAAATTTATCTCCACCAAACCAAACAGGAGGAAAAAATGCAACAGATTATTTCCTCTATCATCAACTACGCCAGAGTGAAGTCTCATGTACTATATCTCCATTTGGATCAGAACTGTCATACTACGTGCATATCGCGGATGGACCTATTCCGACCCTCCATGAGCTTAATACTCATGATATTATAAGCTAACTTCTACAATTGTTCTACACAAATGTGATTGAAATAATGGAGGGTTTATTTCTGGAAATCGATATGGTGGTTGCAAACCATTATCTGAGAGATATCACCACCGAGGGCGTCTCAGGTATACACCAATTAGATCCCATGGTCCTCGCTGACAACAGCTGACAGTTCCTCGGAGAAGATAAGTCAATCTAACAGATTTTTACTTATCTTATAACAATACTAAATAGCTTCATGCTATATATAATTCACTTAAGTTCCTTTTATCATCACAGTACTATGATTATTACATCATACAATATATAAGTTAACAACTCTACAGAGTTTGTTATTATATATATTTACCTTAAGTTATTCATATCTTAAGAGTAATACTATGGTTACATGATAAATGCATTAGCTAACAAACTCTACAGAGTTTTTGGCTATTTTATACATAGCTTAAGTTAATTAAGCTAACAAACTCTCTAATGAGTTTTACTATTATATAGGTAACTTAAGCTAATTATACCTTAAGCATAGTACTATACTCATATTATTAAAATATATTGGCTACAACAAACTCTAAGGAGTTTTGCTATTATATAGGTAGCTTAAGCTTATTCATATCTTAAGCTTAGTACTATGTTTATATCATATAAGTAGATTAGCTAACAAACTCTAAAGAGTTTTTTGCTATTTGGCTTAAGTATCATCATATTTCTAAGCTTAATATGGTTATATTATAACATGTATTAGCTAACAAACTCTACAGAGTTTTAGCTATTATATATGTAACTTAAAGCTTATTCATATCTTAAGCCAGTACTATGTTTATATCATATAGGTATATTAGCTATCAAAACTCTAAAAGAGGGGTTTGCTATTATATATTTCGCTTAAGTTTCATCATATTTTAAGCTTTATGGTTACATTATAACATGTATTAGCTAACAAACTCTACGGAGTTCTTGCTATTATATATGTAGCTAAGTTTTCCTTCATAAGCTCAATACTAGGTTTATATCATAGCTAACAAACTCTAAAGGGTTGTTTTAAGCTATTATTATACAATTAGCTTAAGTTTCATCATATCTTAAGCAGTATGTTTTACATTATAAAGGTATTAGCTAACAAAACCCACGGAGTTTTGTTATTATACATATATAGCTTAAGTTTCATCATAACTTAAGCTCAGTACTATATGTTTTTAACATAAAAGTATATTAGTTAATAAACTCTAAGGAGTTTATTTTGCTATATACATTTAGCTTAAGTCTAATCTTATCTTAAGCTTAGTACTATGGTTACACTATAAACATATTAGCTAATAAACTCTACAGAGTTTTTGGCTATTATATATGTAGCTTAAGTTAATAATATCTTAAGCACAATACTATACTCATATTGTAAAATATATTAGCTAACAAACTCACTGAGTTTTGCTATTATATATGTAGCTTAAGTTCATTATATCTTAAGCACACTACTATACTCATATTGTAAAATATATTAGCTAACAAACTCTCATGGAGTTTTGCTATTATATATGTAGCTTAAGTTAATTATATCTTAAGCACACTACTATACTCATATTGTAAAATATATTAGCTAACAAAACCCTACAGAGTTTTGCTATATATATGTAGCTTAAGTTAATTATATCTTAAGCTCAGTACTATACTAATATTATAAATATATATTAGCTAACAAACTCTACAGAGTTTGGCTATTATATATGTAGCTTAAGTTAATTATAGCTTAAGCACAGTACTATACTCATATTATAAAAATATATTAGCTAACAAACTCTACAGAGTTTGGCTATTATGTATGTAGCTTAAGTTAATTATAGCTTAAGCACAGTACTATACTCATATTATAAAAATATTAGCTAACAAACTCTACAGAGTTTTGCTATTATATATGTAGCTAAAGCTTATTCATATCTTAAGCTCATCATTATATCTATATCATATAAGTATATTAACTAACAAACTCTAAAGAGTTTGCTATTATATAATTAGCTTAAGTTTAATCATATCTTAAGCTTAGTACTATGTTATATCTTTAAAGTATTTTAGCTAACAAACTCTAAGGAGTTTATACTAGCATATTAACAAGCTTAAGTCTATTAGTCTTAAGCATTGTATTAATGTTATATATACTTTATCATAATAAGTACATGGTAATAACCTTTTATATGGCAGCTGATAAGTTAGCAGCAGGAATTCATCAGTTCAGTGCCTTTATGAAGTTCCCATAGGGTTATTACAATCATCACAGTTCAAATCACTAATTATTAAAAATCCAAAGTATTAGATATTCCCACCTCGTCTGCAGAGGATGCTACAAGCAAAAGAGCATGAGTCAGGATAAGGAAAATATGTAATTTTTGGAGTAAAATTGATATTTTATACTTATCCTGACTCATGAGGTCAGCCCTCCCATCCTCCCAAATAACACTTTGGATTTCCCTGTAAATTCAAATGTTGGGCTCAGTATATGAGGAGAGAGTGAGGCACATGGGTAGAGGTGGCGCCCTCGTTCCCGAGCTTGTGGAAAGGAGGTAACTCGTGGTGAATACTAATTAGTGATTTTAAATTGAAGGGAGCTTCAATTAGGGAGATACAAGTGTTCCACTATGTTCGCAAGAAGAAGAAGACAAGCAAAAAGAGCATGAGTCAGGATAAGTATAAAATATCAATTTTACTCCAAAAATTACATGTTTTATTGTTTATTGACCTGTTTACACACGAGTAGCAATGTTGTGGTGCATATATGAAACGAAACACAAGATCACATACTCCATTAAATTCAATTCAGTACTCTAAAAGTTTTTCCAGTACTCCTATATTTAAAAAATAAGGAGTACGTACTCCTGATGTTGAAAAATTATCTGGAGCCCTGAATGAAGGAAGACGAGGTGTATTCAGCTTACAGTGAATGATGCAAGCTTCTTCCAAAGTCTTGGTGGTGTAAGTCATGGCTGATAGTTTCCATGTTTTCCTCTCTACAGGATGTGGAGGACCCCCTCCTGGACAGCAAAACTCCCACATTGTTTGTGGTCGGCCAGCACTCCAGTGTGTGTGAGATAGATGACATTGAGGACCTACGGGAGAAGATGAAGGCAGAGAATGGGCTCCTGATGGTAGGCGGGGCAGACAATCAGCTCCGTGTGAGCCGGGCAAAGAAGAAGCAAGAGTGTGTGACACAAGTCATGGTGGACAGGTGTATTCTGGTGAGTGTGAGATCATGGTGGACTGGTGTATTCTGGTGAGTGTGAGATCATGGTGGATAGGTTTTTTCTGGTGAGTGTGAGATCATGGTGGATAGGTGTATTCTGGTGAGTGTGAGATCATGGTGGACAGGTGTATGCTGGTGAGTGTGAGATCATGGTGGATAGGTGTATTCTGGTTAGTGTGAGATCATGATGGACTGGTGTATTCTGGTGAGTGTGAGATCATGGTGGATAGGTGTATTCTGGTGAGTGTGGGGGCGGTGGGGTAGCCTAGTGGTTAAAGCGTTTGCTCGTCACGCCGAAAACCCGGGTTCGATTCCCCACGTGGGTACAATGTGTTAAGCCCATTTCTGGTGTCCCCCGCCGTGATATTGCTGGAATATTGCTAAAAGCGGCGTAAAACTAAACTCACTCACTCACTCACTCACTCTGGTGAGTGTGAGATCATGGTGGATAGGTGTATTCTGGTGAGTGTGAGATCATGGTGGATAGGTGTATTCTGGTGAGTGTGAGATCATGGTGGATAGGTGTATTCTGGTGAGTGTGAGATCATGGTGGATAGGTGTATTCTGGTGAGTGTAAGATAATGGTGGACAGATGTATTCCGGTGAGTGTAAGATCATGGTGGATAGGTGTATTCTGGTGAGTGTGAGATCATGGTGGATAGGTGTATTCTGGTGCGTGTGAGGTCATGGTGGACAGGTGTATTCTGGTGCGTGTGAGGTCATGGTGGACAGGTGTATTCTGGTGAGTGTAAGATCATGGTGGACAGGTGTATTCTGGTGCGTGTGAGGTCATGGTGGACAGGTGTATTCTGGTGAGTGTGTGGCAGAGGTCATGGTGGACAGGTGTATTCTGGTGAGGCAGAGGTCATGGTGGACAGGTGTATTCTGGTGAGGCAGAGGTCATGGTGGACAGGTGTATTCTGGTGAGTGTGGCAGAGATCATGGTGGACAGGTGTATTCTGGTGCGTGTGAGGTCATGGTGGACAGGTGTATTCTGGTGAGTGTGAGATCATGGTGGACAGATGTATTCTGGTGAGTGTAAGATCATGGTGGATAGGTGTATTCTGGTGCGTGTGAGATCATGGTGGACAGGTGTATTCTGGTGAATGTGTGGCAGAGGTCATGGTGGACAGGTGTATTCTGGTGAGTGTGACACAGATATGAACATTGTTAAGAGGTAGAAGACGTCCACACATCACAGTTAGGTGCTTAACTTGTGCCATTTGCTATTTACTGTTGTTGTATGACCACAACAATCGGAAATATTGCATCCTCAACCATCTCCAGGGTATATATACGTTCAGATAAATCTCCACTAGTACCCTGGATGCATCTACTGCTCAGCCCGATAATTGTATTATCTCCTTTTGCTGGCTTTTTATCCAATCAGGTGTCTACTCTGGGAAGTTGAGCGTACCAATCACAAGGCTTCTCCCATAACTCACTTCCACTTCATTTATCTAACCGATTTAACTTGGCAACACAATTGTTGCCGAGGTGCCCTGAAAGCAGTAGAAGGAGTTCTTGCATATTTCTTTTAAGGTTACAGACCTGTCAATTTGTCTGTAAGATATCCCTAAATCTGAGTCGCACAGCAAGCAAACCTTCATGGCTGGAGCCGACATCTTTGTTGACACTGGCAAGCTTGATTGTATCGGCTTAGCTGATTGGCTACTGTGAGAAGGTGGAGTCAGCAAAGAGAGGGAATAGAATTATCTGGCTGAGCCGTAGATGTATCAAGGGTACTTGAGATTTATCGGAACGTATACCTTGGAGATTATCGAGGATGGTAATATTATTGATCGGAAGAATTGTTCACAATCACTGACATGAAAACTGTTGTGATGAAATAGTATTAATTTACTCACACAATACACAAAGTTACGTCTATATTTATGGGTGGCTTTAAAGTTACGTTCACTGTTTTGTTAGCTATCCTTACCAAAAATTGGCAGCATAATTTTTGAGGCCCAGGACTGCCACTGCAGCCATATTGAAACAAGTATTTAAGGACATTTAATACAAACACCTTTCTAATTCCAATCTTTGTTCTAGGATGAGATTTGTGAGTTTCTGGGAGGAATCTTGTCCCAGTCAGCAACAGCATTAGAAGGCTTGGACCAGTCTGTTGATATTGACATTCGCAACAAGAAGAAAAGGCGGGTATCTCGAGAAATCACACAGACAATCACCGAGTCACCTTTCACTGTGGTGAGTCAGGCAATGGAATTTATTTTTCTGTTACTAAACTACTTTTAACACCACTGGTATTCTAGAAGTAAGGCTTTATTTCCACTAAACAAAAGAAATTAATATATTTTTTTTAATTAAAATTCTAGAGTAAAAATTCATATGCAGAATATTGAATTTGAAATTAAAGGGTCTATTTGTAAATAATTTTCCGCAAATAGATAATGCCTGTAAACTGATTGCATCCAGAAAAGGTTTTATGACTCTTTACATTTTGTAAATTACAGTCATCAAGAGGCCGAGGTCGTGGGATGAGACAGGCCTTTGCAGGTGTGACCTTCAGCTCTCAACTATCTCCTGCTGATGAGACACATTTGTCAGCAGATATTCCTGTATCCACCCTCAAACTATCAAGTAAAAACATTTCAAAACGTTTCAAAATTTATTGACACCTATTAAAATTTTATGCTAAAGATTAACATGTTTTGTAAAGGATGTCATGATTTGACTAAAGCTCTGTTTGTTTTAGCTGCAAGTAGGATGTAAAATGATATCTCTTTCCTCAGATCGCCGGGGCACTCCTAAGAAACGCCAGGCAAGAAGTCCCATCACTAGTGTCCCGAGGAAGAAGATCTCACTACCAACAACTGTGTCAGGGAGCAGTCTCACATCCCCGAAGCTATCCAGCAGATCAGCTGGAAATGTCCCACAGCCCTTGACAATACCAGGGGCCAGGGAGCTCTCAGGGCTGCTTCAGGGAGTCAAAGGGAATGGATCGGAAGAAGGCACCGTGCCCAAGAGCACCAGCGTCACGACTGTACCCCTGTCTCAGATCCTCACCTCAGCAGCCCTTGCCAGTCAGCGAACATCAGACAGCCAGTCAGGGGGAACGCTGCTGGCGACAGCTGTGAAGAGTGACCAGGTCCCAGGTGAGAAGACAGCAGAGACGGTTCCCATACAGCTGCAGACTGGGACATCAGGGAACCACTCACAGATCCTTCTGAGGACCGGATCCAAGCCTTTCTCTATTCCTCTTTCCATGGCCCAGAAGCTTGTGTCAGGGTCACCTCTGGTTCACATCACCACTGCAGCCACAGCTTCTACACAGATACAGCAGCTGCTGTCAACTATAGGCAGGTCTGTGTCCTCAACAGGAACAGGGTCAAGCGGGCAGACAGCCATGATCATTACTAGTGCAGCCCCAAGCACAAGCCAGTCTTCTACAGTGGCCACTCAAGCTGGAAACCTGGACACACAGACACTGGCAGGTCAAAGATCGGGCTCTGCCACAGACAAGACAACGACTGTCACCAGCACTGTTTCCCCAACCACCTGGCACCCCATCTCCAGACCAGGAGAAGGTTCAGGCCATTCAGAGACTCCAGTTCCATGACTTCCCCCTCACCACAGCCTCACTGTCAGTGTCATCAGGGGCAATATCTGTGACTCAGGCTAAGATACTTTCAAGTTCTCAGTTAGATCTGGCAAGGTTACAGTCCATTTCTGAACCTGGTAAAGGTCCTGTGCAAATTGCTGTCAGCAAAAGTCTCATCAGCCCAAATACACTGACAGTGTCTCTGCCAAGTAGTTCCGTTACTAAAACAGTGTCTCATTCCACTTTGATTGCATCATTAACTCCGCCAGGTAAACCTGCACAATCAGTTCCATCTGGAAAATCATCGTCAGTGCTCCCATCAGCAACCCGACCAGACAGACCTCCATCTGTAATGTCTACAGAGCCCCTGGGTAAGGTGTCATCTTTACTGGAGTCTAGTCCTGTCCTGTCCCCTTCGGCTCCCTCCCCAGGGCCAAGCTCCTCACCCCCATCCAGTGCTATCCCTAAGACAGTTGAGGCGGAACTATCCCAAGACTTGTCTCCCACGAGTAAAACATCCCCAAAGAGTGGTCCAAAGGGTGTGACGTCCTCCTACAGTGCTACAGCTAAAACCGTCCTCCCAACAATAGCATCCACAAGAACTAGACGCATCAGAACACCCAAGCAGTATGACTTATGATTTCATTCTTAACAGGAACTGTGCATTGTATTGCTTGGATAGATTGGCTTTGTGTTCAAATGTCATGATGTCTGTTGGTTTAAAAACTCAGCACTTATGCTGTTGTCAAAATGCCGTTCCAACAATATTGTCCACACTGGCAAGACGCCTCAGGACACCAGTATGACATGTGATTTGATATTTAACATGAACTAATGGCATTTTATGGCTTGGATAGATCGGCTTGGTGTTGAGGTGCATTTCATGTGTTGAATGTGTTCAAAGCTCCAGTGCATTTATAAAGGTGGTAAGGATTTGACTGGATGTCAGCATTTATCCTGCACAGCAGGACTGACAGGACAAGCAACTGCAGTAGTGTCAGTCTATGCTGAAATCATGTGAGCCTAGGCTTGAACTTGACTCTGAACTTAAAGTCATTTTCTGCTAATTTCGATAAGATTTTTTGACAGATGTGCTTCTAGACCAACAAGGATTTTACTAGTCTTGGGCTTCAGACTAGTCACTAAATGCTGGTTAGCTGTGTGCTGTATCCCTAAGGGTAAAGTATGTTTCATTAGACAGTATTTTATTAAAACAAGATAACGAGAATGATCTCGAGGTAAAAGCCTCTATAATGGGAATTGTCATTTTAAAATATGTATCACTTGTACAGGAATCTTCCTACTGATTTTGTACAGAAAATCTTAATGCATACCACATCCATCCACTCTTGACACTTGCTTCAGACATCTGTTTATCATGGAAGCGGATATATATGCTACTTTTGTTAGGGACAATCAAATATGTTACGTAGAGCTTGACGTTATATGTATATTTTAATGCATGTAATGTGGAAAGAGTGAAAAATATCCCAATGAAAAGTGGAGTATATTACCATGAATGAGATCTGTTTGTGTTCATATTGATTCTGGGTTAGAATGTGTCTCCAGCAACCAATGATTGTAAGAGTTAGCTAAACCCCACGACCAATGACTGTAAGTGTTGATGCAACCCCACAACCAATGATTGTAAGGCAGCTTTGTGGATTGGGTAGTCAGGGTTAGTGACCCAGACGGTTGACTGTCAGCCTATCCTGATGGCAGGGGGCTGTTGCTCATGTTATCAATCACTGGTTTGTCTTGTCCAGATTTACTGGCAAACAAGGACAAGTTGAACTGGCGCAGAAAATGCGTTTACGCAAACTCATATGGTTTGTGAAAGGTAGAGCATATGTATGCTAGTGCATGTGCATTGCATGACGATGAAATTGATTCCTCGCATAGCTGTACACGCCTTGCTCATAAGACTCTCACGTCGGTGTAGCAAGTCGCACTTCACTTGATCGCGGACAACCTGGGGCCCCTTCGCTAACAATGGCAAGAGCCAGTGGCGGCACTCATACATGCTCATACAGGTCAATTGTCAGGTCTGTGCTCAACTTATCCTTGTTTGCCAGTAGTTATCCATAAAGAGTATAGCTCACCAACTTCTAGAATGCCTATCGAACAATTAGTCCAGACTTGAATATTTACAAGTCGGTATCATCTAGCTGAGATATTGCTGATTGGGACTTAAAACAAACTTGATGCCAGATGATTAGTTCCTCATAGGAGGGAAATGACTCGTCATTAGGAACTGATTACTATATGAAGCTACTTCACAGCTGAAAAGGCTGAATATGTTCACTAAAATTAGCTCCCTGCAATGGCAGAGTAAATTGAAGAAAAATGAATATCTATTGTTATCTTTAATCATTGATATTGGATGAGGTACAGTTCATATGATTATGATCAAGATTGTGAAGACTGCACTCATTTGTTCATATACAATGTATATGTGCACATTATCCATTTTCATGAAATAAAAAAAAAGAATGTGCCCTTTGTCAATACTTCTCAGGTTTCATGCATCACACAAACTCTCTCTGTAATCTGGTGGATGGTGGGTTTGAATCCCAGCTGTGTCATACGAAGACATTATCCATGACAACACAAGTGCCATGATGGTACTTACCCTGCCTGGCACATGGCATCAACAACACTATTTGGTGCAGCATCAGTATTTTGTGTCTTGAGTGGGGTATCTTAGTAAGCTGTCATTCATCCAGATCAGGACAAGCAGCCTCACTCACATGCATGTTACTCTAGGTGCAATAATCATGAATGTGATGTTGAACCCCATTAAGAGTGAGTGAGTGAGTTGCTTTTTACGCCACTTTTAGCAATATTCCAGCAATATCATGGCGGGGGACACCAGAAATGTTTGAACCCCATTAAGTCTCCTCGCACAATGTTCATCGTGGAGGAATGTATTCACAGCTAAAGAATTGACTATGAACACATCCAAATTACTGATGCCAGGAAACATCCTTCCTATGTTCATTATCCTGACCTTCAGGTGACTTTTCTTATACAACAATACCTAAAAATATTCTCACACCAACAAACTTTCACAGAAAAACAATGTACTTGCATATAGAATTATCTAAATATTTCCACTGTGAAGATCCACAGTTCCAAATGCCATGTAAGATGCAATAGTTTCTCCATAAATAATGTGTTCCTCTTCATGTTGGTACAACTACAATCACAACGTTGAACTGATCCGTAGCACAGGCTATCACATACACACACACGACATGCCAAGACTGACGTATCAGCTTTGCGAATCTGTTTGTCCCTCTGGAGATGAGTCTTTAGGAGGAAAAGTAGGATTGTCAAAGTCTGTCACTTGTTTTCCAGATGAGTCTATTGCAAAGTTATAATCTTTTCTTGAATTAAGCAACTTCTCGATCTCCTGATCCAGATTATCTTCTGTGATGAAATTTTTAGATTCCTCCTGAAAAAAATACACCAGAAATATTGTAACACCCTCAAGGAACCTAACAATTAGTCAAGGAAATTCAATGTATAAATTAATATTGGATTGGGTGTCCCAAGATCTGAAACATTCAGCATGTAATTCAACAGAAACATAAAGTTTACATCACAGGAATTAAAGGCACAATGTCACACATTTTCTACAATATTTTGGCCTATATTTTATATAATGGGGGCATACACACTCACTTTAGCTTCCTATTGATGCAATAAAAGGCTTATTATCCCTTATCACTTAACTGAATCGATAATTGAAACTTCAAGGCAAACAGCCTCCAACCAGCACTTGCCATATACGAAATTTAAACGATTGTTCCGTGAATCAAAAACTGTCACACAAGGTGTTGTCGGTGTTTGACGAACTGGCCTCAATCACATTGTGACAAGTTGCATTATAGGATATTTGTAAAGAGCATTCGAAGGGACATAACTCTATGGGGTTCGCTTGAAATAACATTCGGCCGGTAGAGGGCGCAAGATTCGATTTAATGCAACGTTGCATTACAGTTTGTTCAGCTTGACCTAAGCTACTCTACATATGCATGACCCAGGAGGTCAAATGGCATAAAAGGCTGGTCGATTTAACTTCATTAAATACTTAGGGGAGAAAAGAATGTTATTAATGTTGCGTTCGTGTGAAGCATGCATACATGGATTCGTTACATTAAACCATCTGTAGCTTCTTTTTTAATGAAAGTTAGGACAGTGCTGACTATTTTTCGATTCAAACGGCGACCTTGTCTCGGTTGTTCGGACATGTTGACAATCAACTGACAAAGGTGCACCCCTTGACAATAATAGACACAACCAGTTGTGACACGGTCACGCAATGCATTAAAGTACTGTCGGAAATAGAAAAAAACCTTTTTCGCATTGATATCTACAATTTATGTAGTTAATATGTGTAAGTGTGAAATATCTGTTAAACCTAATTCGGCGTAACTACAGTCTCAGGGGTAGGGAGATAGGAAACGTAGAATAAGGACTTTACTGAGGAGAGAGTGCAGAAATGAGAAATGCGGGTTTTTTCTAAGTCCAAAGTGACTTATTTGGAACAGGTCATGGCTTTATGCAAATTAGTGTGCGATGATATTATATTACAAATGACAATTTTTTAATGTCCATTTTGAAATTAAACTTAGCTTCATTATAAACGATAGCTGACGTAAAAAATAATAACTTTAATACTGAAACTATGAAGGATGGAGTCTCACTATCACTATAAAAAGAAACAGGTAGGAGGGGTCGTCTCAAAAGCAAATCCAGGATGGGTGTTGCAGACAGTGGTTGGGGTCGGGCTGGGGGATAGAGATATAAGCTGAGATAAGATAACCCTTTAGGGGAATTAAACTGGGAAGCAAACAGCATGTCATAACAATTTACAAATAATATCCAGTCCTGTCGATCTTCGGGTGGTCATGCCACCTATATATTTTGAGACATTTAATACGATGGATGATTTAAGCTTTTCCATGTGTATCATACCCTTTTACGTATCTCAACATAAACTTTATGATCAATAGATGAGACATATTCAACACACATGAAAAAGCATAAAATATCTTTGAGATGACCCCTTGTGCTTGTAGGCAGGACGTGTATTTCATGCCAGGTGAGTCGACGGTCCGTCATCATACCTGGCTGAGTGACCTAATTACCATCTATAGTCCACTATAGTTTTACGAGTAAACATGCTTTTCTGGATATACTATTACGCATCCCACTGAATGCCTAGTTACGCCGATGTGGGTTATTTCGATATATGCTATTTGTAAATTTGTCAACTTTAGGGATACAGAGTAACAGCCGAAAAACAGTGTTTTTTCTATTTCCGACAGTTCTTTAGTATTCACTTGATCAGGTCAAGCCGAACAAGCTGTAATTCATTCAAACTTTTTGATTTATCATTGTAACCTAAATACGAATATATATTTTTTCATAAATTATATGGTAGCTTCCCTGAGGGCTGATAGTACTATTGAGAGAAATGCATTATGTATTTTTAGAGAAATGTGGAGTGACATTGTGCCTTTAAGAATAAAACAATCTCCATATCCTTCAGATTCTTGTTCAGAGACAAGCATTAGTTTTACAGATAACCCTGGGCACACTCCTCAAAGTAACAATACTAACATAGGGCAAAAATGTCCATCACATTAAAAAACCAAATGATTCTAAACAATGATATGAATTATACACTCATCTCTTCCCCTATATTTGCAGTGTCTGAGTTTGACTGGAATGTTCAAGACAACTTACAATATTTGCAAGAATCACTTTAAGTGCCTTTGCCTCCTGCATCTGTTTCTGCTTAATCCTTCTGGCCACCTGACGATCCAGTCTAGCTTGGATTTTCAATTGCTCTTCCTCTTGCCGGCTCTCCCTATAAGAACAGTAAAATTATTACACCAACAACAAAACGAGAAAAGCACTAACAACTCTCTTTCTCCTCACTGATACTTACATGAGAGATGCTTATGACATTACTTCAGTCATGAGTGAGTGATAATGGTTTTACAAACGCTTTAACCTGTAGGCTAACCCACCACCCCTCTCCAGTCAATGAGTCATGAGTGAGGGAGTTTAATATTACTCTGCTGTTAGCAATATTCTGCAATATCACGACAGGGGACACCAACACCAGGCTTCACACAGTGTATAGAATCAAACCCAGGTCTTCGGTGTGACAAGCAAACTACTATGCTACCCTATCGTGAGCCATGTTGCTAAAGTCGGTGTACTATTCTCCTAAAACCCATCTGAATTGGTTATAGATTGCTTGTATTTTCATTAACACCACACTCTGCAAATTTCCAGCAACATGATGGCAGCCTGTAAATATGGAACCCTGACCAACACTAACCCAATCTTCAACACACTAGTGCCGTGCTGTTACCAATACCAAGATTACTACAGATTAGTTGTGCCGTGCTAGTATAAGTAGCATTGCTGCAGTATTAACAAGAGTGTAGATGATGTGATCCAAATCAACTGCCTGGTTCAGAAATACTGCAAAACAAACTATACAGAATACACTGTTGAGTGTGTGTTTCGACACTTGCCCACACATTGCAACTGAACAAATACCTCCTTGTAAGATAAGATAAGATAAGATAAGATAAGATAATTCTCTATTGTCCCAAGGGAAATCTGTTTTGCATCATACGTTCTCCAGTTTTTCATTCATAAAGCAGCCATACATAACATTGCAATTGGTAATCATGAAATAATCAGGATATAAATACATCAATTTAGTACACAAACATAGATATTGAATAGAATTTGGACAATTAAAAGACAAGTCATTCACAGAATTTGTTGTTAATGCATCTAATACTAGCTGGAACAAATGAGTGGCGAACCCTGTTTGTTCTAAAAGTCGGCATACGCAGCCTGCGTCCAGAAGGTAATGATGAATATTCAGAAAAGAGTATGTGAGTAGGATCACTTAAAATTTTGTTTGCCTTTTTTGAAATTTGCTGCTCATAACAACTGCCGATACTTTGATAGGAAGCCCAATAATTTTAGATGCAGTGTTTACGATTTTTGAAAGTTTGTTTTATTCTGAACAGACAGGTTCCCGAACCAACTCAAGAAATTAAAGTTTAAAGTTACTATGACGATACACATTGATCATGTCGATACAGAAACAAACCATGAAGAAAGGTAAAAGCAAGTGCCCGAATTCAGTTAAAGTCAATTCAAAGATACAGTACCTAACGGCCGCCACCTTGGAGCATGAGCATCGATCTATGCAATTGGGAACTGATGACATGTGTCAACCAAGTCAGCAAGCCTGACCACCCGATCCTGTTAGTCGCCTCTTACGACAAGCATGGGATACTGAAGATCAATATTCTAACCCGGATCTTCACGGGTCTAAAGTAAAAGAAAATAATAGCTTCATATATATACCAGAAGTTACAAGTCAGAAAGTAAATCAGTTAATTGAAGATTTAAAACTGATCTTGGAGAATGTACCACAGAGTTCATCAAGTCCATGTTATTGGCCTGGGCCTTCTTTCACAAAGCAAAAAGGTGATCATAAGTCACTAAGGTAACCTTAGTGCAATGTTAAAGAATGGGAGTTAAGGTTAACCTTAGTAAAGGTTGCTTCGAGAAAGGAGCCCCAAAATTCCGTAAAGAAAACAAGTCAAGGTTACAGGACCTATTAGCCACCACCTTGGCATTCCACTAAACTAGAATTCAGTAAAATAATCAAGTCAAGGGTACAAAACATAATGGCTCTCACTTTAGCATTCCACTTGCCCTTAATTTTAGTCATTAACTCCTGGTTCCAGAACATAATAGCCACCACCACAGCATTTTACTTGCCCTCAATTTCAGTCATTAACTCAAGGTTCCAGGAAATAATGGCCGCCACCTAAGCATTTTACTTGCCCTCAATTTCAGTCATTAACTCAAGGTTCCAGGAAATAATGGCCGCCACCTGAGCATTTTACTTGCCCTCAATTTCAGTCATTAACTCAAGGTTCCAGGAAATAATGGCCGCCACCTAAGCATTTTACTTGCCCTCAATTTCAGTCATTAACTCAAGGTTCTAGAACATAATGGCCGCCACCTAAGCATTCCACTTGCCCTTAATTTCAGTCATTAACTCAAGGTTCCAGAACATAATGGCTGCCACCTGAGCATTCAACTTGCCCTCAATTTTTAAGTCATTAAGTCAAGGTTTCAGAAAATAATGGCCACTACCTTGGCATTCAACATGGCCCGAATTCAGTTAAAGTCAATTCAAAGATACAGTACCTAACGACCGCCACCTTGGAATTCCACTTGTTATTTTCCTCCATGATCCAGGCAAACTCTTCTTCTTCATCAGTCTGTTGAGCCTTCAGCATGGCACGTCTTGCCAAGTCAGCCTGGTGAGTTTTGGTGATGAAATTCCTACAAAGGACAAAAATGTGATATAAGTTTATGTCCCTATGCAAAGATATGTTATATCCAATCATCAAATGTTCAACAGACATAGAAATGTTCTCTTTAAGACATATTTATGCTGTACACCAACTCATCTTTAGCACTGATAGCTTTTTCAAAAAGAATAAGTGTCAATGTAATCAGTTTCTGGAAACAAATTCAATAATTTCTTTAAAAAAGTATTTCTTCAAAACTAAACCAACTGGCATGACTGGGGTATGGAGCATATCCAGACTAAGATATCTCTGACGTGATCCGTGTCATGACAGTTTATTTTTCTGGATGCTTACTATTTTGCATCATAAATAATATACTGAAAAGCTTTTGGGGAACACCTTCAATAGCTGTCTATGCAAATTTTGTTGTCGGTTGAATAATCCGGATATGGGACAGACTGCAATTCATAGTGCAAACTGGTTCCAGATCAAACAAATGGTAGCCCAGAGTTGGCAGATTAACATTCAGTGTGTAACCATAGAAGTTCAGTTCAGTTCAGTTCTACAAGGACATACAGACACACACACACACACATACATTCAATTGGTGTAACTATGGAATTGCTACAAACTTTAGCTGAAGTTGGGTTTTACACCACTTTCAGTATTATTCCAACAACATCGTAGCAGGGGACGGAAAGAGTTCCTTACATACTCCCCGCCTATTTTTGTGATGGGCAAACACTATAGTTTAGTCTGTAGTTTATAGTTAAAAATGTAAGTGAGGAGCTCTTACCCAGGGGACACCTGAGATGGTCTTTACACATTGTACCTATGAGGGGAATCGAACCTGGGTCTTCGCTGTGAAGAGCAAACGCTTTAACCACTAGGCTACACCTGCCTTTGCATCCCCAATTGAGGAGATCGATGCTCATACTGTTGATCACTACAGTGTCTGGTCCATACAAAATTATTTACAGACCGCCACCATATAGCTGGAATATTGCTGAGTGCGGCGTTGTTGGCACGGGTACTACAGATATGTACTCAGGTTCGTTTCAGATCAAGCTCGGTTAAGTGAAATACTCTAAAATTACGTCTGTATACCTAACTGCTCGCAGATGTGTGTTGTAAATTGGCAGCCTTTTCTTAACCTCTGCCGTATCTTCAGGGTGGAACACTTGAGGTTTGGGAACATAGAACTTCTTGCTGGCAGACACTGGGTGCCATCTTGCCTTTCTCCATCGCACTGTCTGGTAGCATGATGCTATCTTAGGCAATTCTTGGGTAACGATTTTCAATGTAACAAAGTTTTGAGATCTCACAACTGCAGCGAGGAAAGACATGCCGGCCATTTTTACCGGAAGCGAAGATAGTAATATAACGACTGAAATGATTGGTGTAGGGTGAGACAGCTGGGCTAATCATATGCGTTGTTGTTTAATACCTAAGAGTTATAAAATCCGGAAAATACTTATTTCGAGTTTTTAATAGAGAGAACTACTTTAGTGTAGTAAGATGAGGAAATAAAATAACTTTCGTCTTGAATAAATATAGAAGAGTGTCACATTCGCCGAAAAAGCTATAATATTCGTTAGGTTTGGTTGTTTGACGTTGACCACAGCCTAGACTCTTTGCAGCGTAATTTAGGTCCCGCTGCTCTTGTTTCTCTGTAGCGTATGTCACACCTAATGGCTGTTGGGAGTTTCAGGAAACTCACCATGTTTATAAACATGGCTGGTGATGACTGACACCACGTGTTGCAAGACCATCAACGGTTGATTTGACAGACACATATGCTGGTTATATAGTCCTGAAATGAATGAACTGACATTCACTGCTAAGAGCATTTAATATAACTCGTCACTGTGGTTCCCGCGTGCTCCTGTGATACACTGAGCTAAGGATGGAGAGAGGTGTAAGAGTGCTTACAGCGGCGGTGTTAGGAAGTGCCTCTGTCTACGCTGGTGGTATGTGTTAACTGAATACAAGAGATTACGGGCGCTGTCCAGCACAGCACTGTGTCATTCTGAAGCGCTACTTCTGTCTCGCTATACCGTTACAGTGGATGTCGCTCGATTACAAACACCCATCCTTCACTGGGTCTAAGCCAGATGGCACGCTTTTTCTGTCAAACATCTCTTATTGGAAACGTTGGGAGGTGGCATGCTTTTATTTTTAAATTCCCTCTTTGATCCCTAGGGTTAACATGGTTAACCGCTGTAACCATGTTAAGACTGGGGTTATTCATACATGTATCTCAGTGTAATATCCCAATTAGTGTAATCTATTTTAACATGTTTCGAACATGATGTTGTCCACATCAACGTAAACCATAACATCCCTCAACTGGCAGTTTGATTTGATGGACAATGGTGGGTGTAGCTTTGTGAAAAAGATGAATAGGGTGGGTGTAATGTCGATCATTAACATGCATGCACACTTCATATTTGACTTTATATTCATGCATGTTAAGGTGCTAATAATTCATGAAACAAACACTCATGACACAAGATTGAGTTCATGGCCCAGTGATAGAGCGGTGTCTAATTGCATAACTAATTAGCAATGCTAGTAAGCTGGCGAAACAAGTTTGACACCCTACAGTGCTGTTTGGATCTGAAGTGCGCCAAGTAAAGGGGACTGTTCAATGTAGCCCTGCCTGGATCTTAATTGTGCCTGGTAAACTGAATATGTACAGTACCAAACTGACATTGGTTGCCTTAGTTACATTTCTTAACTGTACATTTGGTGTATTTTATGTTTTCAGTACTAACATTTCGTCAGCTGTACAAACATTTTAAAACACAGGCAAGGAAATGTCAGAGTAGAAAAAGAACCAACCAAAATATCCATCTCATCTCTACGGCGAAGGACTGGCAAGATCAGCAGAAAACGCTACAAGAACACCTGAAAGTTATGAAGGTACCATTATACAGAGTATCTGGGAAAGATTTCCACCCATAAATTCTTTCAAATATTGCATGGGTTAAGCACCTAAACCATTGCTAACACTAACACAATTTGAATGATGTTTTAATACTTCTGTCCAAGGATTATGAATTTTTGTCTTTTAGTGCCATACCTACTTCATTTCATGAGTGTAACATTTCTATACAAATTCTTGTACAGTTATCACCGAAATAATGAAGTTTGTTATCCATAAAGTTTGTCTATATTGTAGATTATGATTTTAAATATTTTGGAGCTGGGATTGGAGGGTGTTTTACCTGTATTGACATATATTTGATATATATTTGCATATTTAACAATATCCTATAACTATATATATTCTCTGTTGATTGTGAAGAAACAAAACTGAAAACAAACCTGTAGTGACATAGTTTGGTGATTGTTAAGGTGTTATTCTTTTGTAAAACATTTTAAGCAATTTGCACTGATGTTAATGTTATATGTTGACTTCACTAAGTACAACCACAACAGCTTGCTCCTTAGATCATCTGATACCACTTTGATCTTTAATAGTGCCATGGCTATCACAGTGAACACATAACTGGTGACCTGTATCTATTTAGTGGTGTGTATAATAGGGCTGTTATAATTTAGTGAATCGAATTATATCCCTTCGTTATTTGTGGTCGTAGAATCAATTATTTTGTTTTCAGCAACCCATACTTGTCGTTGGAGGTGACTAACGGGATCAGGCAGTCAGTCCTGCTGACTTGGTTGACTCATGTCATTGTATCTCAACTACGTAGATCGATGCTCATGCTCTTAATCATTGGATTGTCTGGTCCAGACTCGATTATTTACAGACCGCCGCCATATAGCTGGAATATTACTGTGTGCGGTGTAAGACAACAGACGAATAAACTTAATGACCTTTCTGATATGGATGGGCGATAATACCGGTTAACCGGTATATTGCAATTCAAACTTCACAATACGATATGTTGCGGTACACCTTTCGTTCACCTGATATGATGTAGTAAGAAATACCAATAAGATTTCTATTTCTTTTATATCATTATCCATTAATAGTTTTTAGATTGGTACCGGCACTCATTGCAGGGATAAACAAACCAAAATGCCGGACACTGCTGCAGACACTTTTTCTCGATTTCCAATCTTCAGAGCGAATTCTTCAATTTGGAAACATTTTCAATTAATCGCTTGTACAATCACATCTGAGTCCTGACAGTGGTCAGTGGCATTGTTTCAAAAGAAAGGAAACAGTAATTTTATTACCTAAAACCATGTTATACACTTTCACAATATATTGCAATACATATTGCAATACGCCAACACATGTCGCAATATATCGCAATACGAAAATTTTAGCAATACCCAACCCTACTTTCTGACTGAACATGACAGTGAAAACAGAGGTTATTATAAGCTACAGAGATGTCGGGTCGGTTTGTGTTGATCATTGCATGTGTTGTGGATTCAGGTTGTGGGTTTGGACTGTGAGTGGGTGTCAGATCACAGTACCGGACACCGCTCCCAGGTGGCCCTGCTGCAGCTGGCGACAACCTCTGGTCTGTGTCTGTTGGTGAGACTGTGTCACATGGGAGGGATGATACCGCAGACATTGAAGGACTTGTTAGCAGATCCAAGGTAAAGGTCAATACGGATAACAGTCTGTAGATACTATACTCATAATATGCTTATAATGAACAGGGGTGGTGGAGCAGCCTAGTGGTTAAAGCATTTGCTCGTCACGCCGAAGACGGGTTCGATTCTCGTGGGTACAATGTGTGAAGCCCTTTTCTGATATCCCCCGCCATGATATTGCTGGAATATTGCTAAAAACGGCATAAAACCATACTCACTCACTCACTTATAATGAACAAAGGTCTATATTTACACCCCACTTGCAGACATACATTCCTACACACACATGCATATGCATGCAGATATTTTTGCTGCATGAATGAAACAATCTCCTATTATTTTACATTGCCTCACCAAATCTTTTAATTGGCAGTGTTCTTATTAAGGAAACAGCTCTAAACTAGAATTGCTTTCAAATTCGAGGGACAATACTTAAGTATGAAGCATAATTGCCAAAACAAAAAAAGTCTTGTTTTGGTAAAAAGGAATAAGATTTATAGTCACATGGGCAATATTTCAGCAATATCGAAAAGGAATAAAATCTTGAAGTCCTAACATAATGATAAATTGTGATGTTGGTAACTGTGTCTGTAGGTAAAATATTCTTGCATTGCAGTATACTTAAAGTTGGTGTAGCAGTGAAGGATGATGGGAAAAAATTGGCCAAGGATTATGGGATGGTTGTTCAAGGCTGTGTTGACCTGCGACATCTCTTGACTCGTGTGAGACATAAGTATAAATGGTAAGAGCTGAGGGAATTTATCATTTATCCTTGATAGTGGATACTTATCCAGTTTGGCAGATTACCATGACTATCTAGCATCTAGGGTAATATTAATTGTGAGACATTATTCCTTGGACTTCATACACAACAAAACGTGAGATTAGTTGAAACAGGTTTGGCAAAATGTTCTAAGAACTTAAAAGATATGTTAAAAAATCTTTGTATCAGTTGATGTGGAATACCTTGAAAATAACTAGTTTGTCACATCCCCTTAAATGTTGCATCAGTTAGTTGAGGTGAATTTCAATTCCATTGTCCACAGTTGTTACAAAGGTGAGATGTGAATGGTACCTTCTGTTATTATTCTGGTGACTCTCTTGCTGCAGTGATTCCAGTCTCCAGGGTCTGGCTGAAGGTATTCTGGGAGTGACGATGGACAAGAGGAGGGAGATTCGCTGCAGCAACTGGGAGGCAGACACCCTCTCTGTAGATCAGGTGGGTAGGTGGGGGAACCCTCTCTGTAGATCAGGTGGGTAGGTGGGGGTGGGGACCCCTCTCTGTAGATCAGGTGGGTGTAGGTGGGGGGTGGGACCCTCTGTAGATCAGGTGGGGGGGGGCCCCCCTCTGTAGATCAGGTGGGTAGGTGGGGGACCTCTCTGTAGATCAGGTGGGGGTGGTGGGGACCCCTCTCTGTAGGTCAGTGGGGGCCCCTATCTGTAGATCAGGTGGGGGTGGGGACCCCCCCTCTGTAGATCAGGTGGCTAGGTGGGGGACCCCCTCTCTGTGGGTAGGTGGTGGGGACCCTCTCTGTAGATCAAGTGGGGTGGGTGGGGACCCTCTCTGTCAGGTCAGGTGGGGATCCTCTCTGTAGATCAGGTGGGTAGGTGGGGGACCCCTGGCTGTAGATCAGGTGGGTGTAGGTGGGGGAACCCTCTCTGTAGATCAGGTGGGTAGGTGGGGACCCTCGCTGTAGATCAGGTGGGGGTGGGGACCCCTCTCTGTAGATCAGGTGGGGGGATGGGGACCCCACTGTAGATCAGGTGGCTAGGTGGGGGACCCTCTCTGTAGATCAGATCAAGTGGGGTGGGTGGGGACCCCCTGTGTCAGATCTGTAGATCAGGTGGGTAGGGGGGACCCTCTGTAGATCAGGTGGGTGTAGGTGGGGAACCCTCTCTGTAGATCAGGTGGGGGTGGGGACCCTCTCTGTAGATCAGGTGGGGGTGGGGCCCCTCTCTGTAGATCAGGTGGGGGTGGGGACCCCTCTCTGTAGATCAGGTGGGTAGGTTGGGGACCCCTCTCTGTAGATCAGGTGGGCAGGTGGGGGGTTGGGGACCCTCTCTGTAGGGCTGGTGTGGGGGGGGAACCCTCTCTGTAGATCAGGTGGGTAGCTGGGGGACCCCTCGCTGTAGATCAGGTGGGTAGGTGGGGGACCCCTCTCTGTAGATCAGGTGAGTGTAGTGATTTCGAGCCCTCACATAGATTGGCTGGGTGGTGACTCTTTGAGGTTTGGGTTTCGACTAGTCTACTAACTCAGGGTGCTGTCTACTAACTCAGGGTGCTGTCTACTTATGTACAAGGTCAAGTTTACTGTACTAGTCGTCAAGGTCAGAATAGTCTCCACTAGACTGAAGCCAGAATGACCTTTTCTAGAATGAGGTCAGAATGGTCTGCACTAGACTGAGGTCAGAATGGTCTCCACTAGACTGAGGTCAGAATGGTCTCCACTAGAATGAGGTCAGAATGTGAGGTCATATCTACTCATTTGTAATGGCTGACCTGAAGAAGGGTTAGAATTGATCTCTTCAGTAACCCATGTCTGTCCTAAGAGGAGACACGGTGGTGAAGACTCGTAAGCGAGGAGAGCAGGTGATTAGGCTCGCTGACTTGGTGGACACATGTCAACATCTCCCAATTGTGTAGATCAATGCTCGTGCTGTTCATCAGTGGATTGTCTGGTTCAGACTCAATTATTTACAGACTGCCACAATACAGCTGGAATATTGCTGAGTGCGGTGTAAGACTAAACTCACTCACTCACTCACATCTGTAATGGCCTACACTAGTCCACTAGTTAGGGGGGGTGTTTTCTTGGCTATTTGCCATTATACCAAGATGAATAATTGATCCTCATATCAATCGTTGAATAAGCTGTTTATTAAACTAATTATATGTTGAATATTCACACAAGAATTACAGACTTTAGTCTAAAATGACTCTGCTCAGAATGAATTGCAATGGAGAGTTGTGTCCCCTTGGCATACAAGAACTCACTCACTACAGGTACACTATGCAGCAGCTGACGGCCAGGTGGGCGTTGACATCTTCACCAAGCTGGTGCTGACCAAGCTGAAGGGTGGTGACCCGGGGGACCTGGTGTGGAACATGGAGGAGGTCGACCTGGAAGAGGTCTGGAGACTGGCCAGGGCCATGTGCCAGGGCATTGTGGACATTGGTCACAGACAGTCGGGGACACAGCGCAGAACTCAGGTAGGAGCTCCACACATCTCACAAATTAGAAATAGGAGCTCTGCTTTGGATTGTAGCAGACATTGGCTAATGAGTCTTATTATTTATCATGAAGCACACATATCATGACAATGAGCATCTGATGGATTGTTGCAGTCATCGGCTAAGCAGACGGAGAAGCCTGGGATTGAGAAAGGACGTGCCTATTCCGCCCGGGCTCGACCTCTGTATCACAACTGCCAACTCCAGGCTCCTGATGGGCAGCCCCTGTGTACGTGTGACATCCGTAAGGCAGAGTGGTACATAGAGAAACAGCTAGGAGGTGAGACAGTGAGGCAGTCAAGTCCTGTTTGTGTATCACAAAGACAGCAGATTTTGTATATCATGTTATCATTGGTTTCATCTGAAACCATGTCCACGTAGTGTACCACAAGGATGGCCGCTGTGTGCTTGTGACTTCTACAAGGTGGAGTGGTACCTGGACAAACACCTGGCAGGTGAGATAGTGAGACACTGTTGCACACAAGTAACCATGGTAACAGATATATTTACACTTTTTCAGATGAGTAACCTTGGTAACATGTATTTACACTATTGCAGACAAGGTATGTGAACGGCCCCTCACTGTACGTCTGAGGTTTGAGCCATCGGGTCGTCCCGAGTCAGAGCACAACTACTACCTCCAGGAGAAGGAGAACGTCTGCGTCGTGTGCGGCAACAACAACACCTACACCAGGAAGTTTGTCGTACCCCAGGAGTACCTAAAGTATGTCGCAGTCGTACCCCAGGAGTACCGCAAGTATGTACCAGTTGTACCAAGGTTTCATCCTTCTCTGGGATTCTCAATTCTACATTCTTAGGGTCTACATCTCATATCAAAAACTGATGATACAAATCTAGTTAAGTATATCATTGTCCACTGTTCATCATTGTTCGAATTCAGTACTGGCCATTAGCATGGATGGCTGTGGTGGATGTGTGGAGTTAGCTGTACCAGGATCTGCTGACTGAGAGTTTGAATCCTGGATTGTCTTGGTTACGATCATTGGTTATTCATCACAGTACACAAACACCCACTCACCTAAGCAGATCTCTGGAGCACAGTATGGTCCCAAACACTCTCATAGTAACAGTCCAAAAGCATAGCAATCATGTGACTCCAGTTTGTGAAGTTGTGCAGGGGTCCCTTGGGGCTGCTCACTTGTTTAAGGTACACATTTTCCTCTACCAAGTTTCATCACTTGGGCATGCCAGAAACCTGTGAACATGAGTTTGAATCCGAGTTCATCATGCCTGTGTTTGTGGGTCTACCCAAGCTGGTAATGCCTGAGACCTTATCACTTGAGTGCCATATTACCTTCATATGCAGTGAGTGAGTGAGTGAGTTTGGTTTTACGCCGCTTTTAGCAATATTCCAGCAATATCATGGCAGGGGACACCAGAAATGGGCTTCACACATTGTACCCATGTCGGGAATCGAACCCGGGTCTTCAGCATTCTGAGCGGACGCTTTAACCACTAGGCTACCCCACCGCCCTCATATGCAGATATTACAGATTGCCGCCATATAGCTGGAATATTGCTGAGTGCAGCGTAAAACTAAACTCCTCACTCACTCACTCATATGCAGTAGACCACCTCCGTAGTAGTGGTTAGAGCGTCCACCGAGAGCGGAAGGTCGTGGGTTCGATCCCCGACAGCGTCATACCAAAAGACATAAAATATGGTACTTGTTGGTCCCTGCCTGGCTCGGCATTAATGGGTACAACAAGGACTGGTCGGCTCGGAGTCAGAAAAATGTGTCTGAGTGGGGTATTCCTGCTTCACTCGCGGCATGGTATCTCAGTGGGCTAGCACTATAAAACCAGCTTAAGTCTGGGCTAGTACAAGCAGCCCGCATACACACACACACGCATGCACGCGTTGTCATATGAGCGAAATATTCTCAAGCACGACGTTAAACCCAATTTCACCTCGCCTCATATAGTGACATAACTGGAATACTCTTCACTGAAGTTCTTGATACATTTATGCTTCACCCACCCAGGTTATTTACAACCTATGTGTTTTTATACATTGCTTAGCTGCTTAAAATAGCATTCACTCACACACAGTATTTTCTTGATCTAACCGACATGCACATCTAATCTTCCAGATACTTCCCGCCACTGTTGAAGGACCACAGGTCCCATGATGTGCTGCTGCTGTGTCCCCCCTGTCACCAGGTGAGCTCCAACCATGACGCCGTCCTGCGGCAGGAGCTGGCCGTGGAGTGCGACGCCCCCATCGACTCCGGGCTGGGATGTCGTAGTGTACAGAACCAGGACCTCATGAAGATCAGATCAGCGGCCAAGTGAGTGCTGGGAGAAACAAATTAGGCCACTGATGTTTAGATTTGTGGATTTGGGTTTTCACTGATGTCAAAAAATATCTTGGTGTAGTTTTAATTTACTTTTATTTGCAGAAAGCTAACATTGAAAACTAGAAGTATACACATACAACTGTACAAATCATACAAAATTTATGTGGATTCTAAATTGACACTTTAGTTTAAATTTACTTTTGTTTGCCAATAGTTCCATCTTTGAGTATGAGAGAAAACCCAAAAGGAGATTCGAGGCTTGTAGCCAGAATATTAGATGACAACAACATTTTGATCGCAAATTGACTGACTGACTGAGTTTGGATCAAAGATGCAAATAAACAACAAACAGTGAATACTTTCCAGACAAGAAACACTTCAAAGATGCAAATCATACAGGAATACATTAACAATGAGCATAATGTATTTCAGGCAAGTTCTCTAGCATAATCCTTAGTTTTAATGGACTGGGATTGATACTCTTTTTGAGTAATTGTTCCCTTCACAAGAACAACCTTTGCTTAACATTGACAAAGTAGTGATAATGGTAATATATTGAAAATATTCATGCTTTTTGTTTTCATAGAGCACTGAAACTAAGCAGACCCCAGATCCCTGAAGCAAGGGTAATTGTGTTGGAAAAGACATTGATGGATTACTATGGAGTTACCTCCCTTACTGATGATTTGTTGGAGACAGCCATCAATATGGACACAAGGTAATCTGTGAGTGAGGTAGTGAGTGTGGTTTTACAATGATTGTGTGCCATAAAATTTCCGAAAGTACCATGCTGGGATTCGAACCACTTAACCTTCTATTTCAAGTCGGACTTTGTCCACATGACCAAAGAGGTTAACCCCGGCCAGCAAGCTGACAAGGTAGCCATCTGTGGATGGCTGCTACATACTCCCCGCCAACAGAAGTCACGGCCCCGAGCCGCATAGTTGGTACTCGAGACTTATTTGGCTCAAAATCAGATTGCATAAAAATATTAGTCCACATGACTAAAGAGGTTAACCCTGGCCAGCAAGCTGAAGGTAAGGATGTCATCTGTGGGATGACTTCAATATTACTGAAGGGACTTCAGAAATTGGCTCCATATACTGAAACTGGACCTTCAGCAAAGAGAACAACTCTTGCTAGTCCTCAAATCAGTACCAGAGCAAAAGGACATGCTGGAAGTTAAACTGCAACAGCTGGTCCCCTAAAACAAACATTACTTTTTTTTTGTTGATTTTGACGATATGATTTTAACAGACCATTTCCTTCCGATTAAATTCAGATTCATTTGGAACACTGGACACATGACGATCTGGGATAGAATTGGTCTTCAGCAACCCATGCTTGGTTGACATGTCATCATATCCCAACTGCTTAGATCAATGCTGATGATGTTAATCACTGGTTTGTCTGGTCCAGACTCGATTATTTACAGACTGCCGCCATATAGCTGAAAAATTGCTTGGTGCGGCGTTAAACTACAAAGAAATAAACTAGCTCCAAACCCATTGTTGTGGTATTGTTTTGCTGATTCTAAGATCTTCACTGTGTGACATGAAGATGCCTCTCTGATTTATTATCTTCTCTTACAGAATCTTCAACTCGGATTACATGCCACATGGGAAAAAGGTTGTTGAACAGTTCAAACAGAAGGGGAAACTGTGGGATTTTGAAAGGCGATGGAGAAAGAGCTTTGTGGACACCATGAAGCCCAAGTTTCTTCCTCCTCTCTGGTCTATCGAACATCATCATAACGGAGTCTTATCCACTCACTAGAGTCTGGAACACCACAGGAACGCCTCTGAATGAACTGTTTTACGCCACAGTTTCTCTCTCCCCTCTCTGGTCTATCGAACATCATCATAGCAAGATCGATGCTCATGCTGTTGATCACTGAATTGTCTGGTCCAGACTCGATTATTTATAGACTGCCGCCAAATAGCTGGAATATGGTTACGGTTTTCTTCCTCTCCTCTATGATCTATCAAACTTCATCTTGTCAACTCACTAGAGTCTGGAACTCTGTGACATGATGTATATTATGTCATCACACCTGAAGGCATCGATTGTTGCTGATGACATCAACCACTGGTTTTCCTGACCCAGACATGATTACTTAATAACCACAATATTGCTGATTGCCACCTTAATCAAAACACACACAGGCTTTCCTCTTGAATTACGCAGACATGCCATTACAGAACTGAACAAGATGGCACCTTCCCATACTATTTTTCAGTACAGATGCTTGTATCTTTAGATGATATCTTTATCAAGCTCCTGAAAGTATAAACATGTGACTATGGACATCTGATTGTTCCTACCACATGGAGAAGAGGGCCTGCCATATAAAGTGCTGCAATTGGCTGTGCAGAATGCCTCACAAGATCCTGTGATCGGGGGGTTCAAAATCCAATTTGCTCAGTTCTGGGTTGGTGAGCGCCATACGTGGGTTTCTTCAATGTCATAAATATCCGAGACCTACATCACTTCGCCTTTCCTCCCACATCAAGCCGACGTTACGATGACATGACCGGAATCTGTTCAGTGTAGCTGTAAGTTCAACTCGCTCAGTCATGATTTTTCCAAATGTCTTCTTAATGTTGGACATTTTTGTCTATTGTTTACATAATATGTGAATAATTATTTCTGGAGTATTTATTTTTGTAAATAAACACAAGAATTGGGTACTATTGTATAACTTTTATTCACATCTACCTGCAATGTTGTGTTAGTCTGTCACACTCCATCTACGTTACTAACTAACGTCACATGATCATACTTAGTATTGCACATGCATCATCATTAATCTGACAGGTCAGCACAAAATGTCATTACACAGACCCAGTCATACACAGACACTGGAAACGAGTGACAGGGAAACTAGACGTCTGCTGCCAACATGGCGTCTGCACCATAGACAACCATGAGAAACAGACGTAAACTTTATATTCTTGTCTCAGACGACTGACCACTTAATTTGATTTTGAAAAATTTATTTGATCTAGATAATACCAAAATAAAGAAGATTTTGCCAGAGGTGTTAGAATGTCCAGCAAATTTGCTATGTCAAAAAAAGTTAAGCCATTCCCCAAATAAGTTTTCAATGTGGATTTAAATTTTGTGCTGAACTTGCATAAGGAGTAGGCTCACCAATTACTTTCTTTTTGTCTTACATGACGTTTGAATAAATATATATATTTGTAATACATTTTTTCTTTAGGAAAAAAAATCTCAAGTCAAACGTGGTAAGATGTTAATTGCCTTCTAAAATTTTACCTCATTTTTGGCATAATGTCCAAGAAGGTCCAAAAAGGAGAGTTTGTACTCATATAACTGATGATTTATTCCCTGTATGGAGTAACCGTCAGTCTGTGCATTAAGTTGACATATTAGATATTCATATACTAAAGTTCAGGGAGAATCCTTGTTTAATTCATGATTCTGATGCAAACTGCTTCAAGTTTAAATGTCAAACTTAATACCATAAAACCTCGTTAGTCCAGACTCTCCCAATATTAAGACCAGTACTAAGAAAAACATTCATTAATCTGGAAATTTGTTATCCAGATAGTCACTTGGAAAGGTTTTGTCCAGATTAACAAGGTTTCAGTGTGGTTACTGGAATGTGCAGATACCAAACATCGCCACAAATCAGTTTTCAAATCACAGCAATCGATACAAGTACTCAGTAATCTAGGTTTACTATTTAGAAATGTCATATCTCATCACATACGTCCACAACATCAAATCAATTATAACTTTACCCATTTGTCATAAAAATGTCCACCCCCAGACTGGCAACTTCCTGCAGGACAGGAACTTGAATGCAAATTTAGCCCTTTTTCACTTATTTTAACTGATACATTTCAGGGCTCACTGGTTTTGCATAAGAGTTTTAAAATATGAAGTTGATGGTAAAACTTAAACAAGATATAGGTGTGTTCTGTTATGAACACTTCCAGAAAAGCCTTAACCGCTTTCGTTAAGACAAAAGTTACCATCTGCAGTTAATATTATGTCATCATTGCATAATACTTCTGAAAATGATATAAAACAACAACCTTTATAGTACACAAAACATTACAAATGAAATTGAGAGTTAAGAATGCTCGTTTTTCTCATATCCTAAGGTCTTAGACAATAGGCAGAGATAACAGTAGAAGAAAAAATAATGACAAAAAGAAAATTCTTGTTCAGTTACCTCCCTTTGATTGGCTAACCTGATATCTGCCAAATTTTGAGAGATTTAGCTGCATATTAATAACCAATAAGAACTTAATATTGCAGCTGTCCTGTCAGTGATTGGCTTATTTTTTCTGAAAACTCATCACAAGGAAAGCCAAAATAACGTTAAACATGTTCTGACATGTGGACATTATGCTATTGCATATTATAACATCAGTACACTGCTTGTGTTCATTATGGCACGCGTAAAGGATAATGTACACAATCTTCAGGTACAAAGTAAACATTTTCCTGGACAAAACTTCATCCCTGCTGAATCAAAATCTACCTCAAAGTCTGCTTTGGGATCTGTACTCGTATTTTCAACAGAATACAATTATATGTTTGATACCATTCACCATTATGACTTACAGAACATTAAACTTGGGCAATAGTGTCAGTTCCAGCAAATTTGGATTCCAGGCATTCTAACCCAAAAACATTTGTTGATTACCAAGAGATGAAAACGGCCATCAGATCATGAAGCATTGTCCCACTTGAAATAGGACTGGGCTCTGTCTACTAAAACCCAAAGATGATTGGCCAATCTCACAGCGGCTGTGATTGGATGACACTAAACAACAGTTATTGGGCTTGGTACCAAATAAAAACAAATATAAGTATGCGACGTCTGCTCGTCAAGAACTGCTCACAACAAAAGTAATACAGGCCATTTTGTGTATTGGTATCCCCAAAATCGAACTTACGATGGGGACTAGTGTCTGTTTCTATCATTAGCAAACACAGAGACTGCAAGTGGATGCACATGTGAAAAAAAAGAGAAAGACACATTTGTACAATAAGTTTGGCCATTACCTGTTTAAGATTACAAGACTTGTAATTTACCCTGGAACTAGTGATTACACATGTCGAGTACAGGGAATGTACCATTCCACATGCAGGCACATCCTGATACAAGATTTCAAGAAATATCATCTGGGCAAGCTGCCTAAAATTACTGGAGGGTTCAAAACTCGAATGTCAGATAAAAGTCTCAATTCCTTAAGTTTCAGAGTTGGGATGTTTGGCAAGATTTCATCCTAAATATTTTCAATAATTTCTTGATCCTGTTGCACAAAGTAATTATTGTGCAATGACCATCCCAAGCCTGTTTTAATGTGTGGGAGTTTCGATAACGTCAGCACTAAGATCACTTTGGGAATGGAGACCGGGGGATTAACTGTTGAAATCAATAATTAAATTAGAATAGTCCTACTGTTATCCTCATAAAAAATGGAATTGCCATCAGTCACACATCTGAGAAGAATGAAGAACCATTTGATATATTCAAAAGTTTTAATCATTTCGAAGAAGGATTCACTAAACAGAATATCTTTGATGTCGGTGTTTAAACAGTGTTAAGGTTTACAGGGCTTATGTCCTAAACCTAAGGAATTCAGTTTTTTATCCAACAAATTTTGAACTCGCGATGGATGACCATTTGCATATAATGCCTGTAGCTCGACATCTGCTCATACTACAGACTGCGGAAATTGTCGGACACGCCAGTAAGTACTATCGTGCATAGGTGAGAATGTTGTACAAACATAGGTGAGAATGTTGTACAGGTGAGAATGTTGTACAAACAGGTGAGAATGTTGTACAAACATAGACAGTAAGACCACAGGGCAGATATGGACATACGGCTGAGGAACAAAAACAGAATCAAGAAAAGTCTTCTGAATTGAGAAACATTGTGGATGGTTTACTCGAGGAAGTGCGTGAATATTGTTTGATGCTTCAGGCAACAAGATTCCAGTCCAAGCCTGTATGAAGTCTGGACACACTGTCCGTGAAAGTGAGTGAGTGAGTTGGGTTTTACGCCACTTTTAGCAATATTCCAGCAACATCACAGCAGGGAACACCAGAAATGGGCTTCACACATTGTACCCATGTGGGGAATCAAAGCCAGGCCTACAGTGAGACAAGCAAACCCCTTAACCCCACTGCCCCAAAAGGTGGTTATAAACTAGTCTTATAACATATGGTAACATTCAATCATGGACAATTCAACCAGATAATCTAACAAGAGTACACCGATGTTCAATCATTAGTTGTCAGTCAATATTTGCAAAATGCAAGATTCCTATTTTGTGAAACAATTACAGCACATATTGACTTGGAGATATGGGTTCTTGGTTTTACATTATAATGCATTCATTACAAGATCATACTATGACATACTCTGTATTGTCCTTAAAATCTTTTGAGCGGTATAAAAAAAGACCTTCTCTGGTGTCAGCATTATATTTACAACCTGAAACAATTTTCACAAATTCTGATCTCTGATTATGAACTTTTCACCTAAAAAAGAAACAGTGAAACATTTCCATGTTTTGAACCAAATTCTGCATATACAATATTGTGAAACATTATATAGAGTATACCAGATAGTCATTCCTAGGAACACTCTCATTGTCACAAAACAATAATCACTTTTTATGTGGGAAGGTATAAAGATTTTCAGAAGTTTTGGTGATAAAATATTACATATAAATTCAATTATTAAAACAAAATCACACATAAACATAATGACAATTCTGTGTTTAATAATTAATTTTAGATGCAGCATACACAACTACTCACCAGTGATGTGAAATATGTATTTCTTTAAGAATTTTTTGCACTGTATTCAAAGTTTATTCTCCAATATTTATCTATAATCGATCAATATATAGTTAAAGATTACCGATCTCTATAATCCATATCTATAGTCAGCACTAATATGTACATTGTTCCCTTGAAATTTAAACAGTGGTGTTCGACCATATTCCTGATTGCAATTATCACGGCAGCATCTCTGATGGAGATAACATTCACTATTCTGAGAACCAGCTACCTACAGAATTCTTCAACTTGATCAGTAAACCATTGTACTCTTCACTCAAACTTAACAAATAAAGTTTGGCAAAACATAAATAAATCTTGTTATAAACAAATAAATGCAACTAAATGGTTGAGCAAAATAAACATATTGCAAGCAATGAAAGCAAAGCTACTTAAGCGGGTGTAAATAGACTTTCTATAATCTATGGTTTGAAAGCTGTATTTGCATCAGTTGAAATGGTCATGTCTGTTTCAAAAACATTCTATGTCATTGTTCAAGAGTATTTAAAAACCAAATGTGAACAGCATAGTCTGTCAACCTTACATATTGCAACTAATTTTTAGTGACTTAATTTACACAATTTATGATTAACACGCACTACAGTGAATTAAATACCCAAAACTAATGCTGAGAGACTATAGGAAGTTTTGTAACAATAACGCTTCAATTTGTAATACATTTGTGAACAATAATGCCCCTAAACTTAGTGCCTACTGATATTCCTTTTCAGTTTGTTTACAAGAACTGATAGAAAACAATTTTCATTCAAGTAATCAGATCTAACTCTGTTTTATAATCAGACAATCAGGTGAAAAACATCCACAATAGTTAATTACTGCTTTTCATAGGAAATGAAGAATATTATTATAAAAATAATCATTCTAACAACATGAACAAAGAAATCAATCGTCTTTCCATATCGTTTCGTGATTGTCCTTCCATAATAGTACTTGCTATTAGTCGAAACTATACTATCATACTGATGATTCTGACAGGATAAATTTACACTCACCTAACAAATAGATCAGATTTGAGTTCACAAGTGTTTTCCTATGGGGAATATTGATTTGAATCTAATCATTCCACTTCATTGTTCCATTTCAACTTTTTAAAACAACTTTGTGGTCATGTGACTTCAACATGTGACCTGTATATTGCATTGTTCTATTTGCACATTATGCACAAATAAATAACTGCCTATAAAACAAAATGCCCTCTCCTATATAATGCAAATCTACCTCTGTCCTAGTCAGTGCAACTACTCTATAGGCTGTTGATACTATACTACTCAACTTTCTGTAGGGATAATCAGGTATGTTTCTATTTACATAAACACTTCTTATTAAATCAGTTTTGTGTATGACTGAACGATAAAAGTATCCTTAGAAAATGTAGAAACACGAACTATATTCATTGTAACGAGGAGGAAGATATATAATAAGATTGGCTATAGGCACACAATAAACACTTTGTATTTCTGTAATGAGAAACGTAATCACAAGGAGTATGTGCTGACAGCCCCTGACAATATGAAGTGTAGACATTTTGTCCTTAAAATCAGTGGGATGTTTACGCATGCTAAAGTACGTCAAGCCTTCACACAGAAGCTAAAAGTGTCACTGATTCCACATGACAAATGTGGCTGTGATGTGTAATGAAACAAACCTTCTTTTAAAAAAAAACATAATATGTAAACAAATGAACTATATCCAGTCATTGCTATTGTGGACTCAAGCTTCTCAGGACTGGCACAAACACAGGTTAAACATCAGATGATATCACAGTTAGGCCTAAAATGTAAATATTCAAATCAAAGTCAAACTGCAAACTAAAACAAACAGTGTCTATTAGGGCTCTGACAGGTAGACTAAATGGTGAAAACCTGTCTTAAAGCCTGACCAAGCTGAAATACCTATCAGTCAATCCCATAAGTTTTTCTTTCGTAATTCTCTGCAAATGTGTACCATACCTCACCCATATCTGCAACATGTTACCGAAATCAACACAAGTTGTCTCCCCTGGTTGAGTTATCTCCCTTTTTCAAGTAAGCTTTGAGACTTCTAAAAACTGAAAAATATTCAAATACCTGTCAGAGCCCATATGGCAACACCAGCTGATAAATTAACTATTAAATAACTGTGGAATGGAATAGTATCTAGTCTTCATATCACAAAAGTTCCTAATGGCAATCTGAGGTCTATCTTCTTAAAACTTGACACACCCTGTTGACTTTGGATTCATGTTGTACAAGTCATGGCTGTTTGTAAATGTTGGATGGCATATCATTGACAAGATCAGGTCACATGGAATATGAACTAAAGACTAAACATACGTCGCTGTACTCAAAGACATATACGTCTTTGCTGTACTCAACTGAAAAATGTGTGTATTGAGGCTGAAGGGGTCGTTACGGCACAGGTACTACAGATGTGTACACCAGGTACGTTTCTGTAAACAGAAAAGTAACCTAGCCAAGATCTGAATAAAGAAACTTCCCCTAGTCGAGTCCATTCTCTACTGTGCCATTTTCTTGATAGGAACTGTCATACTATTGTATTAGATGCATTTGATTGCGTTTATAAGAAATGAGCATACACAGTAACGAATACTTCACGATGCACAATTTCACTCCCAACCAGTTGAATGGGAACAACTATATATGGTTTCGGTTTTGGGTTGCAGAATATAGGAGAGTCTCCCGTTCAGGGTACTGGGTACTTTCAATGTATTTTGACTTTGTTTAGGGTACGTTTCTGTATACCAGAATGTACCTATGGTACATATCTGTAGTACCTGTGCCGAAAATGACCCCTTCAGCTGTATTGAGAGGGTTGGCACAAGGAGTATGAAGGGTAGAAACACATGTTGTTCTTGTGCTATATTCATACAATATATATTTGTGTTGGCTGTTATCCTCATCTTCAGCAGGTGACGCTGAATGGGTTGTCAACGTGTTGTCGTTAGCAAGCTCATGCATGCTAACATCAACTGTCAACAATCACACCTCAGGTATCACATCAGAAATTAAAACCATAATTATGTCAACAATATTTAAAATTATGTCAACAATATTCTCAAGTATCATGAGCTGTAACCATGGATACTACATATTTTAAGTGGCCACGCGATAACTGAAAAAAGATTATCGGTTAAAGTCAGTAGTTTTCAGAAGTAGTACGTCTGGTCAAAAGGTAGATGGCCGAAAAAATTCATAACAGAATTTTACCTTCAAAATGAAGTAATAAAATCAATAATTAAGGCATGAAAAAATATGCAAATTTATACGCATGCACACCAATTTTTATATTTATACCTGTATAACCACAAAATATACTGAAGTCAAATCTAAAATAAGTTAGATTCCTAGGATGATATAAATTTGTCATTTTGGGGTTAATTTCAGTTTTATTGAGGTGGGTCAGGCTTGTAAACCAACAAATAAAACAGGAAGACTTAATGGTCCATTAATGTTTGTTAGACTTTCAACATGAACCTTGTGATCGCTCAGATATGAGGCATTCTCTTAAAACATGAGAAGTGCAATTCTTTGTTACAGCTTCAAAACACTTCTCACCTATAACACATTTCTAACCATTTATACAGTCCACAACATTCCATCGAGGTATGATTACAGTCATGATATATAGACAGACAGTATATGTACAGACAACACTCGTAAACTTAGATCACACATGGAAAAAATCATTTCGTTTCTCCACAAATTCAGCAAGAAAAGGCCAAGTTCTCACAGCATGAGTTAAAAAAGTCAATGATCATTCCTTGTAGGAACTCTTGTCCATATTCCTGAGACTCATCTTTCTTGCGTTGTGCTGTAGCCTTTTATTGTCCCTTCATAAACTGAGATTCTCAGAGATTTCCTTCAAAACCTGGTCCCCGACCGCGTCATACCAAAAGACGTGAAAATATGGTACTTGTTGGTCCCTGCCTGGCGTTCGGCATTAATGGGTACAATAAGGACTGGTCGGCTCGGAGTCAGTATAATGTGTCTGAGTGGGGTATTCATGCTTCACTGCGGCATGGTATCTCAGTGAGCTAGCACTATAAAACCAGCTTAAGTCTGGGCTAGTACAAGCAGCCGCACATACACATACACACGCATGCACGTCGTCATATGAGCGAAATATTCTCAAGTACGACGTAAAACCCAATTTCACCTCACCTCAAAACCTGGTACAAGGGTTGAAATAATGAAATGCTACAGTTAAAGTAGCTTCTGATGGATGTCAGACAACAGGTCCTGTTTATACATATATTATTTACAGGAAATAAAATAACACATTGTCAAACAGAAAATCTACAGTCCAATATTTACATCCAGTCTACAACAACCTGTTGGCACTATGTTGCTTATCTCCCCTGCATATCTCAGTTATCTCCCCTTAAACCAACCTCCAAGGGAACATCTGTCATAAAGGCAGTAATGTTTAAACATGGATAACAGAACAAATACAGAAGTAGGATTAAACAAATTGCAAGAATACAGATTCTCATGGAATTATTTTCCTACTTGGGGGTTGGTAATACACTGGGGAGGGGTTCGCTGAGATTAAAGAGGGGTCATAAAGAAATGACAATAAAAGATGCCAAATGTTAACACATTTATAGGGCAGGGAAACTGTTACACAAAATGATCGATCAACAACATATGTTAGTCCTAAGAACGATCAAAGTGGTTTCCTTCCCCCAGCAATAAATGCCCTGTCACTAACAGTCTTGATGCTATTACTGCTGTCTTGTATTTATGCTACATCAGAGATACACCAGATCTTCCAATCTATACTGGACAAAAATAGTTAGGGATATATGTAAATTTTGAAATTATGAATAATGATGTATTTATTAATTGACACACTGATAAAATATCAATCATATAAATACAAATATCCCTAACTTATTTTGTCCAGTATATTATCACAAAATTCTATGGAATCTATTCTTAGACAACAACTGCTGGGCTTATACTTATTACTCCTAAAATTGACGCCAGGTTGACAAAAAAGTTCTCATTTGGTCACATGTTTCCAATATCAACCTGAACAGAACTAAAAATTCATAAAAAAAACTCTTGCAATTTTAAAGGGGTACTCCTATTTGAACATCTTCCTATGGAGCACACGTGGTGGACACCAAGTGTCCAGTCTCTACCTTGTTGATCATGCAACTACTATGTCCAACCCTAATCACTGGGAAGGGTCCAGTTTCGTAATGAATTTGACCATGATGCTTATAAATCGTGTGGCATTGAATACCAAACTTATACCCACTGAAACCTTGACATCCAGAAGTGATGCGATAGCAGACGACAATGTCAGCCATTTCTAATTAAGGCATACAATGACATTTTGAAGTGAGAAAATAGTTTTGGTCGAAATGGTACAGAAATAGTAAGCTCCTCATTCAAAAATAGCTAAGATATACAGAAATAGAAAGCTCCTCATTATAAAATAGTTAAAATATAACTGATGCAAAGGGAGACAACTATGTTATGTGATTAATGTCTGTTCAACAGTCACGTGTGGCACTAACATTTACTTCTAATGCCAGGTTTCACAACCTACTGCTATAAGTACATATAAAATGCCTACACTACCCCCTGATCCTCATATGAAAATAATCCTTGTTTTACATTCTGCATTGCCTAGTTTCTCCTTCACAAGGTCTTCAAAGTTCTCAAGCACACGCTGTGACTTCCGTACCATCCCTCGGGGGGGCTGAGGCGGACTCCGCCCTCCTGCTCCAGACCCTGGTAGAGTCAGGCTTGTTACCTTCTGTTTCAGCTTTGCAAACGGGCTCGTATCACCGCCAGTAGCAGACTTCTTGTCCTCAAGGAGACTTAGGGATGAGTCACTTAAAGAAACCTTCATGTTAGAGTGGAAGAGCTGCTTCGGCCTGCCTAGGACAGTTTTCAGTTCATCTTGGTCAAGATCCTCCTCCAAAAGAGGAGGTATTTTGGTAAAGTAATCCTCATGGAGTCCTTCAGCCATGTCGTTGTGATCTGTAGGCACCTGTGACGTCTGAGGTAGTCCATTGGTGTGTGTGTCTGTAGGAAGAGATAACAGGTCCTCCTGTTCCTGGCAAGGGTCTGTGTCTGTAGTACCTGCAGCGTCTTCTTGAGGGTCTGTGGTGTGCTGGAGGTCCATATGAAACACTCCAGGCTCTACAGCACTCACCTTCCCTGCATCAGACTCTAGGGGCTGAGATGCTTCAAATATTGCCTTGTCTGTATTTTGCTGAGAAGAACCTGATGTTTCTATGTTAGACATAGGCCTTGTACTGGAAGCCTGCCTATGTTGCTTGTCACCTGAGCTGGAAGATGTAATCAAGATAGTGCTGGGGCTGGTGGCAAGGATCCCACAGCTATCCAAAACAACATCATTCTCAGCCTCCAAGGAACCTGACCTAACTCCTGTATCCGTCACTCTGGGTATCGGCTGTGATTCTGTGTTGCCATCAATAATCGTCACCTCACCATCAGCATGATCCTTATCCATGAAGTCCAACATTTTGGAGAACTTTATGGCAACCTTTCCAGCAGGACCATTTTTTGACCATCTTTACTGGATTCAGACTTTTTAAAGTCATCTTAGGTAGGGAAATCTTTATTGGATTAGAGTTTTTAGATGAGGACGGTTTCGAGAAAGGTCCTCTGAGAGCAGCAGGAATGAAGTTCATGTTCTTGATCCTCTGTCCTGGAGAGATCTTCTCTTGGGTTGTATGAGTGTCAGAGTTCATGGGTGTCCAAACTTCTTCCTCATCCTCCCTGGCAGGCTGAGCGTCATCTGTGCGGGGGCTGGTGGTCATGACATCAGACGAGATGTCCCGCGGGAGGCGGATTCCAGCCAGGGAGTTCTCCTGCTGCTGCTTGTGGATGTCCTGAACCTCAGGGTGAGGACGGGTCTTCTTCCTGTAGGACGGCAGAACAGAATGCAATGTAGTAAGTTACACTGATGATGGGTTTCCACATTGTACCATGTGGGCAATAATGGCATGCACCACCGCTCCTGATTTCAACAGAATAGATGCTGAAAGATTATAATTGATATCACAACAAAAAAACAGACAATGATTTAAAATTTATGTGTTGAATTAGTTTTAAATAGCCTGGGCCAAATATTACATCCAAAATTTATTCCTGTGTACATCTGCATAAGCCAGTGCAGTCAAAAACAACTTTAGATTTCTTGTCCTCATCTGGTTAGAGTGTACTAGGAGAGAAAGCAGGGCTCACCTTTCCAGCTTTGGCTTGTCAGATACCTCCAGCTCCAGAGACAGGATCTCCTGCGCCGCCATGAAAGCCTGACACACTGCCTTCAGAGACTCTGAAAGTAGTCGCCACAACATGCTCTCATCTAGATACACCAAAGACTGGATACAGCAGGGTAACTATAGATGCAGACACTGTAAGAAGTTACCACACTGGGTCATTTAGGTCAAGGCAACAAAAGGGTAACAATACAGTGGTCATCTTCAGCAACTCTGCAAGTTGTAATTACAATGTTCTCTAATCTAGACATACAAAAACATTATATCTGGTAGTGGCATGGTAAAAACTGATGACAAGATTACAACTGCACTTTCTTCTCCTGCCAGAGAAAGAAGGCAACTATGGTAGAAGTTTAAAGGCTGTAAAATTGAAACTTCCATGAGAACTGTGCAGTAAACATGCAAACATATCCAAATAACTGCAATAGAAGTAAAATTATTGTAACAATTGATGCAATCAACTGCTTGCAAAACTCAATCCAACAGTTCTCAAATATTAGCTAAATATTTTTTTAAGTAATTTTGTTCTCATCCCAGCCAAGAATTGTTGATAGCACCCTCAAACTTCAACCTCCACCTGCCCCAAATACTGGTACTCCATTTCCTGAACCACCCTCAAGCTTCTGACATTTGATTCTTTTGCTATTTTCACTAAATTCACAGTACCCTTGCTCCACCTGTTACCTTACATCCCCTCCTGTCCCATTAATCCACATTCTGTTCTCTACCTCCATTTTCTTCTCCCATAGTGCACCTCCAGTATCCCAGCTCCACCTCCTGACCTTCAATCCACTTCCTGACCATTGCCCCATCCCCTGACCATCGCTCCACCTCCTCACCATTACCCTAGCCACACCAGCTGAGCACGCTCCACTTCCTGACCCCACCACCCCTACCCTAGCCACACCAGCTGAGCACGCTCCACTTCCTGACCCCACCACCCCTACCCTAGCCACACCAGCTGAGCACGCTCCACTTCCTGACCCCACCACCCCTACCCTAGCCACACCAGCTGAGCACGCTCCACTTCCTGACCCCACCACCCCTACCCTAGCCACACCAGCTGAGCACAGCTGAGCACGACCCCACCACCCTACTACCCTAGCCCACCAGCTGAGCACCTACCCTAGCCACACCAGCTGAGCTGAGCACTTCCACTTCCTGACCCCACCACTCCCTACTCCACCAGCCACACTTCCACCCTGAGCACGCCCACTTCCTTCCACCCCTACCCTAGCCACACCAGCTGAGCACGCTCCACTTCCTGACCCCACCACCCCTACCCTAGCCACACCAGCTGAGCGCCCACTTCCCACCACCCCTACCCCCAGCACGCTTCCACTTTCTGACCCCCACCACCCCTAGCCACACCAGCTGAGCACGCTTCCACTTCCTGACCCCACCACCCCTACTCCTAGCCACACCAGCTGAGCACGCCCACTTCCTGACCCCACCACCACCCTACCCTAGCCACACCAGCTGAGCACGCCTCCACTTCCTGACCCCACCACACCCCTACCCTAGCCACACCAGCTGAGCACGCCCACTTCCTGACCCCACCACCCCTACCCTAGCTACACACCAGCTGAGCACTCCACTTCCTGACCCCACCACTCCCTACCCTAGCTAGCCACACCAGCTGAGCACGCTTCCACTTCCTGACCCCACCACTCCCTACTCCTAGCCACACCAGCTGAGCACGCCTCCACTTCCTGACCCCACCACTCCCTACCCTAGCCACACCAGCTGAGCACGCCCACTTCCTGACCCCACCACCCTCCTACCCTAGCCACACCAGCTGAGCACGCTTCCACTTCCTGACCCCACCACTCCCTACCCTAGCCACACCAGCTGAGCACGCTCCACTTCCTGACCCCACCACCCCTACTCCTAGCCACACCAGCTGAGCACGCTTCCACTTCCTCCACCCCACCACACCCCTACCCTAGCCACACCAGCTGAGCACGCTTCCACTTCCTGACCCCACCACCCCTACCCTAGCCACACCAGCTGAGCACGCTCCACTTCCTGACCCCACCACCCCTACCCTAGCCACACCAGCTGAGCACGCTCCACTTCCTGACCCCACCACCCCTACCCTAGCCACACCAGCTGAGCACGCTCCACTTCCTGACCCCACCACCCCTACACCTAGCCACACCAGCTGAGCACGCTCCACTTCCTGACCCCACCACCCCTACCCTAGCCACACCAGCTGAGCACGCCCCACTTCCTGCCCCCACCATCCCTACCCTAGCACCTCCTGCTGAGCACTTCCACTTCCTGACCCCACCACCCCTACCTTAAGCCACACCAGCTGAGCACGCTCCACTTCCTGACCCCACCACCCCTACCCTAGCCATACCTCATGACATCTTTCCACCTCTTAACCAGTGCTTCACCATAGATTCACCTCCAGACCCCTAGTTCATCCTCCAGATCATTGCTTCACCTCCTGATTATCACTCCACTTCCCTCCCCTCTGCTCCACCTCCTTACCCTAGCTCCACTCCACCTCTCCAGACCATCAGCTCAACTGCCTCCAGACCCAGCTCTGGCTCCAGATTCACATCACTCAACCTTCTGGATTCTTAGCTCCACCTCCAGACCCCTAACTCCACCCCTCCAGACCCCAGACTCCAGACCACAGCTCTGCCTCCAGATCATAACTCCACCTTCTGATTCTTGCTCCACCTCCAGACCCCTAACTCCAACTCCAGACCACAGCTCTGCCTCCAGATCATAACTCCGCCTTCTGACTCTTGCTCCCACCTCCTGATCCCTACTGCCACCTCCAGACCATAGCTCTGCCTCCAGATCATAACTCCGCCTTCTGATTCTTGCCCCACCTCCTGATCCCTACGGCCACCTCCTGTACCTGAGTTCCACCTCCTGACCTCAGCTCAACCTTCTCCCTCTTGTCCCAACTCCACCTTATAGTCCAACGTACCTCTAATATTATGTTCCTTCTAGATCTCCAGACTTCAGACTCTACCTTGTGTCTTCTAGCACTACCTTCCACCCTCAAATTCCAACCCCAAACCACTGACTCCACTCCAGACCTACCTCTAGCCTCTTCCTTGTCCTTCACAGGAACCACCACGTTGTTGAACAGACGGGTGCTCGGGGCTCGGAAGGTGTGGAAGAAGCCCTCCTCAGCGAAGTGCCGATAGTGGATGCGCATGCACACAAAGCGAGATTTGAACACGGATGGCTCTTGGCCTAAAAACAGGAACCACAGAGTGCAGAGAAGAGAGAGATGAGGTGAAATGCAATAGCACAGATGCTAAGTCATATATCTGCAAGGTTAAACAAAACTGTGACCAAGAAACAGAAAGTGATCCATTTAAAAAAGCAATCACTGAGTAACAGATGCTCTTAATGTGTGAACAGACAATGCCTTTAAGAATGTGGACATGTCTGGACATGTGCAACAAAAGTAATCCTAAACACATGTATACAACTTGTTTAGTCATATTGTGGTGAGCACATTCTTATGATCTAACCCTTAGCTATGATTTTGTTTGTTATATTTATTTGACAATGCACTTCCATTCCAATATTCCAACAGTATGATGCTGATCTGTAAAGAATCAAGTCTGGACCAGACAATCCAGTGATCGACACCATGAGCATAGATCTACACAATGGGGATATGATGAAATGCACCACACAAATCTGCGAGCCTGACCACCTGATCCTCTTAGTCACCTTATATGACAGGCATGGGTTGTTCAAGACCATTCCAACCCCATTCCTTCCAGGTTAAACACTTCGATAGTTGTGATAACAAAGACTGGCCACATCATGCAAGAAGCATGAAATCAAATCATAAACATATGTAAGGTTAAGAATAACAAATGTGCAAAATATGGGCATTTACATATGTATGAGGTGAGGTGAAATTTGGTTTAACGTTGTGCTTGAGCATATTTCGCTCATATGACGACGTGCATGCACTTGTATGTGTACGTGCGGCTGCTTGTACTAGTCCAGACTTAAGCTGGTTTTATAGTGCTAGCCCACTGAGATACCATGCCGCAGTGAAGCAGGAATACCCCACTCAGAAACATTATACTGACTCCGAGCCGACCAGTCCTTGTTGTACCCATTAATGCCGAGCGCCAGACAGGGACTAACAAGTACCATATTTTAACGTCTTTTGGTATGACGCGGTTGGGGATCGAACCCGTGACCTTCTGCTCTCGGGCAGACGCTCTAACCACTACACCATGGAGGCAGTCACAAAATACAAAAAAATTAAATATAACATATTGCAAAAAAAAAGAATTTTACTTTGTCATAAGCCTTTTTATAAATGGGACAAATTATATATATATTACAGTTACAAGATGATTAGCCTGATGGAACAATTGGCATATAAATGAAAACTACATCCCTTAATCCTGAATTGGATTCTTTTCCAAAGCTCCACAACATTACTGATACATCTAGGCACCTTGTAAGCATCCACGCCTAGCCAGACATACTTGGAGCTGATAGCTTAAAAAACTCCTTAATAGACAAAGATCAATCAACTGTGTCACACAAACCTATTTCTATCTTCTCCAGATCTTCCAGGAAGATCCTCTGGTACTGTGTGACCTGTTCTTCCTCGTCATCATACCTGTAACACAACCATCACACCTGAACAAAAAAATCATACTGCAACAAAGCCATCATACTTGTAATACAACCATCATACCTGTAACTCAACCATCATACCTGTAACACAACCATCATACCTGTAACTCAACCATCATACCTGTAACACAACCATCATACCTGTAACACAATCATCATACCTGTAACACAGCCATCATACCTGTAACACAACCATCATACCTGTAACTCAACTATCATACCTGTAACACAACCATCATACCTGTAACTCAACCATCATACCTGTAACACAATCATCATACCTGTAACTCAACCATCATACCTGAAACACAACCATCATACCTGTAACACAATCATCATACCTGTAACTCAACCATCATACCTGTAACACAACCATCATACCTGTAACTCAACCATCATACCTGTAACACAACCATCATACCTGTAACACAACCATCATACCTGTAACTCAACCATCATACCTGTAACTCAACCATAATACCTGTAACACAACCATCATACCTGTAACACAATCATCATACTTGTAATACAACTTGTAATACAACCATCATACCTGTAACACAACCATCATACCTGTAACACAACCATCATACCTGTAACTCAACCATCATACCTGTAACTCAACCATCATACCTGTAACACAACCTTTAACACAATCATCATTCCTGTAACACAACCATCAAGACAGCAAGTATAACTCACCAGCCGATGTAGACAGCAAATATAACTCACCAGCCGATGTAGACAGCCCTCTGTGTGAGCAGCAGGATGATGTCCATCTCTTGTTTATCGGGGTCTCCTTCCCTGCAACACGGACAGGCATCAATAGACAACGCACACATACATGGGGGCATGGGGCATTAAAGTTGCAGAACTTAAAAAACGTTAAACAGGATCAGTTTACACCAGGTAGGTTTACACATACGAGGTCAGTTTCACAACTTACTAAGGATCAGTAACTACAACTTACCGAGGTTGAGTCCACAACTTACTGAAGATCAGTAAGAACAGCTTACTGAAGATCAGTTTCACAACTTACCAAGGATCAGTAAGCACAACTTGCTGAGGATGAGTTCACAACTTATTGAGGATGAGTTCACAACTTACTAAGGATCAGTAAGTACAACTTACTGAGGATGAGTTCACAACTTACTAAGGATCAGTGAGCACGACTTACTGAGGATGAGTTCACAACTTACTGAGGATGAGTTCACAACTTACTGAGGATGAGTTCACAACTTACTAAGGATCAGTGAGCACGACTTACTGAGGATGAGTTCACAACTTACTAAGGATCAGTGAGCACGACTTACTGAGGATGAGTTCACAACTTACTGAAGATCATTCACAACTTACTGAGGATGAGTTCACAACTTACTAAGGATCTGTAAGCACGACTTACTGAGGATAAGTTCACACCTTATTAAGGGTCAGTAAGCAACTCGTATGTAAGCACAGCTTACACAGGATCAGTTTATCAACTTACTGAGGATCAGCGTTGATGAGACTCCAGCCACCCAGACACTGCTCTGGCTCGATGATGAGCATCTTCTTGGTGTCCTCGATCAGCATCTTGACGTTCTCCTCCTTCTCCAGGAGGTCCTGAGTGTCCTCCTCCTCATCCCCCTCACTCTTGGGGTTGAGATTCAGGACCTCCTCCGACACAGGCTGCCCCAAGGTCAGGTCAATGGCTGCCTGACGATGAGCATCCTTGAACCTCAAGTAGTACCTGACATGAGAGATAAGACTATTACATCAGTCAGGTGTTACGGGTACTTCAAGCACTCAAGGCAGTTGTGTCAATACTGTAATATACTAGTAACAAGTAATATGGGTACGCCATAAATTATTCCAAACTTTATTACCACTGATTGTTGAGTCTAGTGTAGCCTAGCTGTGGTATCGCATCTTTTCCTGGTTCTTATAAATTTTGATAACGACTTTTGCTACACAGAGCTGTGTCTTTTCTATAGCTTATCTTGTCTAATAAATTCACACACTTTGCTCAAATCCCTGCTTTAAACACTATTTACCCTTGTTTTCACATTCATATCTCAACACAAAACATATTTGTCATTTCTTCAATATCCAGGATATATTTTTGCCAGAGTGATGCTCCCGATCCTGACTGTCTCCACCTACCTGTTAGCTGAATTCATGCCATCCTTCATCAATCCTGTAAACTTTCTCTCACCAGTTCGGGTGAAGTCACCCTAGATAGAAATATACACACATAAATACATTTCATGTGGTGATCAAATACAGCTTCAAGGTTCTGGAGCTTACCTGAATATGAATGCAATAATGGCTGCTATGTTTGAAATCTAACTGGAATTCTATAAGAATATTTAAACACCAAGGTGGAATCATTCATACAAAGTCTTAACTTCTTCCATATTTGAAATCTGTCAGAAATGCTTGTCATAATCTTTTATTTGTTCGTTGGTTAATGCCGCACTCAGTAATATTCCAGCTGTATGGTGGCGGTCTGTAAATAATCAAGTCTGGACCATTTAATCCAGTGATCGACATCATGAGCATAGATCTACACAACTAGAATACAATGATAGGTCAGCGTGTTTGACCACCCAATCCCGTTCGTGGCCTCTTATGACAAGCATTGGTTACTGATGATGGATTATAACCCAGGATTTTCACAAAGTGCTTGTCATGATCAGTAGGCTCCACCTTCCTTCATGTTTCAGAAATGCAAAACTGTAACACTGGCTGATTACAGCCTGAGCCATCTGATCAACTTATACACTAAGCTTGTTCTCCAATATGGCTGCCCTCACCTTGAGTGCAGCTGTACCGGCGTACTGCCGACTGATTACATCCCCATTGTTTGCCCACAGCTGCTGGTAGGTTAGGCGGCAACTTGTTGGCAGAATCTCCTCCGGAGGAAGAAGACCAAGTTTTCGAAACTGGAAATATAAAGAATAATTTGTTTGTCTTCCTCTGCCTTAATAAACAAGACAATTGATCGATTTATAAGAGCAGCATTTAATAACTGACACCATTTTGTTAACTCTCTTTTATTTTAATATCGAGTCTAACGCTATTGTCTCAAACTTACGTGTGTTGAAATGATGGTTGTCTCGCTCACAGTCTGGTCCAGACTTCTTACTCTGTGTATCACTATTTTAACTTAGATGTGTCAAATGCCTATGCTCCTCATTCTATCGTCCAAAGAGCTATAAACTCTAAGCTTAAGCACTCAGTTCAAATTACCATAGGGGTATCAAATCTCCAGACAGACCACCACAGATTTTATTACCCAGTTATATATTTGTTTCTATCCTAAATACTAACAAAAAACTTCACCAGTTCCAAACAATTATAACGTACATGTAACAGTGCTGAAACAAATGTTTAGAGCTTTCTTTTCTTTGGTTTACCACAATATTTTAGAAATGTGTTTGGAGATTTCTGTGTACCTGTGTCTCCATGACGATTCTTGCAATGGCTGTCTGCACAACGTTTGTCCTGTCCAGACAGTCGACACAGTTGATACGGAAGACCCCACGCTGCTCACAGATAGGGCCTTTGTTGTCCACCCTGGAAACAGTGGAGAGAGTGAGTGAGTGAGTGATCCAGACCAGCTCACAAGCTGATGGTGAGAAAGTGTATTGTTATCGGTAAATTGAGTGACTGGATGATTTTCAACCAACCAACCAACCAACCAACCAACCAACCAACCAACCAACCAACCAATCAATCAATCAATCAATAAATCAATCAATTCTTTATCCAAGTAAGAGTGAGTTTAGTTTACGCCGATTTAGCAATATTCCAGCAATATCACGGCAGGGGAAACCAGAAATGGCTTCACGCATTGTACCCATGTGGGGAATTGAACCCAGGTCTTTAGCATGATGAGCAAACAATTTAACCACTAGGCTACCCCACTGCCCCTTATTCAAGTATGAAGGCCACTAGGCTCATATACAATTATTATGCAACAAATATAACAGAGGGCTGAATATAAATGTGTGCATGTATATATACATATATCCAACTATAAGTCCAATAAGCTAAACCACGAACAGCTGAATTGATAAAACGTCAGGATGCGACCACATTCACCATACGCTATAGCACTGGGTATCTGGGGTTCAATTATTAGAAATGGTGTACAAACTAAGAGATGTATTTTCTTGACACACAATCGCGAGTTGGTGACTGATATATTCAAAATGACATCTATAGTAGTTTCCTGAAGTTCTGTTGGCAGTATGGCGCACTGAGTCAAAAGGATCAAATAAGGGCCATTAATTCTCAATTCTTGATTTAGTTTTCATTGACATTTTCTTGTCTCTCATCCATGTTCCAACTTGAGGAGAACAAGGACAAAGTTTCCAGGTTTCATATTTCACTGAACCCAGTTTTTCAACCAATCAGAATTGAGCCAGATCCACCTGCCCCACCTACCAGCAGTATCTCTGGTCCTTGATGATGTCACGGATCCCATCAGTCAAGATGGACACATTCTCAAACTTCATCCCACGACTGAAACAGAAAAAATGGCAAGTGATACTGCAGCAGACATCCATACTATGTATCTCCAAATCTTGTATCTTTAGCAAATACAAAACAACCCTGCATTCATTCCCAAGATTCTCGCGATTTCAAATTACCTACCGGTCAAAGTCTGGGTTAGAATATTGATCTTCAGTGATCAATGCTTGTCGTAAGAGGCGACTAACAGGATCAGGTAGTCAGGCTCGCTGACTTGGTTGACATATGTCATCGGTTCCAAGTTGAGCAGATCGATGCTCCTGCTGTTGATCACTGGATTGTCTGGTCCAGACTTGATTATTTACAGACCACCGCCATATAGCTGGAATATTGCTGAGTGTGGCGTAAAACAAACTCACTCACTCACTCAAATTACCTGTCCTTGAGTTTCATTAGCATTTTACCAACCAATCAGGAAATAAGGAACACAAGAAACAACCCTTCAAGGCTCAAAACCAATCCAATATTCACAATAGTAAGTGGAATATTCACAGAGGTGAGGTGCTACACTAACAGGTCCTAGTATTCACCAGTATTCAAGAAGCTGAGTGTAATACCTGTGAGAGTATCAACATTTTCAGAAGCCGGTACTCACTAATATTCAAGGAAGCTGAATGTGATGTTTGTGGGAGCATTGATACTGACAGCCCTAGTGCTCCCCAGTATTCAAGGAAGCTAAGTGTGATATTTGTGCAAGTATCAATACTTAAAGAAACCAGTAGTGACCACTATTCAAGGAAGCCGATTCTGATGTTTGTGCAAGTTTCAATACTTACAGGAGCCAGTACTCACCAGTATTCATGGAAGTCGAAGGTGATGTAGGCGATGTCAGGGGAGTTGTACTCCAGTATGTGACTCAGGTATTTGTCACCGATGACGGTTTCCTTCCCGGCCAGTTCGGCCAGGGAGATGATGACCAGCTTGCTGTATACAGCCAGCTGCTCCTCGAAGTGGGTGAGGAAAGCCCCATGTGTTTCTTCATCTCCTGAAACAACAATCACACCATCAGACACAGGAACAACAATTACACCATCAGACACAGGAACATCTACATCATCCACTGCAATACACATGGCAGTTATGCTTCTCCTTGTTGAACAAAAAAATTATTCTGCTTTGAAAAAAAAGAAAAATAATCACAAGGCTCTGTAGCTCACCTGAACTGTGAAGACATATTGGCAGCCATGTTGAAAAGTTAAGTATGAACATTTCATATTTACTTTCAGTTTCATAGGCCTCACAGTTTCAAATGTGTTGAAGACTTAATTTAAGGTATGTGATGGTCAAAGATTGTAGTGTGATTAAAAATTTGTGAAAAAAGCTATAAACAAAACCCACTATCTGCTACACATAACGTATCATAGTCACAATGGTATATTACAAAAATGTCCATGTGAAGAAATACTGTCTTCCTGAAGATGCAAAAGTGTCTGCACAAACTGTGTAGTGACATTGCTGCTGGAAGGAAGTCCATCCTCGAGTTTTTACACGGTGTGGCAGTGAACAACTGACTTTATAAATATCAGTAGGCCGAGACTATCTCATGTCATCATGTGATGCATTATGTAATGTAGAACTTATTATGTTAACTGTAGTCATTTCGAATGATTTTTATATTTGTTGTGTGTGTGAAAATGTAAAACTAAAAACTAAGAAAGCATTGTATTTCTATACATTTCTTGTTAGAAAATGAAACCGGAAGTTTTTAGCCCAGAGGTCTTTTTTTACCAAGGCAAATTTAGGACTTTTTTACCAGTTCTTTTTTACTAGTTCTTTTTTACTGAACACCTGTGATGGCAGATATACAAGAATGAGGTAGTGTTTATGATGATGTATGCTTGTGCTTACTTGTCTGTTTTGTTGTTTATGATGATGTATGCTTGTGCTACTTGTCTGTTTTGTTGTTTATGATGATGTATCCCGGTGTCAGGGGTTTTCGACGATGTAAGACAAAAACGTAATTTTTATCTGTAATATCATTCAAAGTTTTTATTTTACTAACCTCGAGTGATAAAGGATATATTCATCTATTTCACACAAAAATGTCAAGTGTTTCCTACAAAAATAGCGTTGATGACATCGTATCAGCGAAACAGTGGCCGCTCGTAACATCCGGGTATTTTGTATGGGTTTTCGACGATGAGCCATACTTTCTGCTCCGCACTGCGAGGGAGTGTTGTGACCACGTGGCTTCCTATTTATATATTGCCTGTCACCAGCAGACGACTGATCTTACTGAATTTTCGCTTGTTATTTTTTGTTATAAAGGCAACTGATTTTGCATGTAAAGTGGTATTAACGATCTCGGGTAAATAATATTGATGTTTGTTTGCTTTTTATATAACTTTACTTCCCGATTTCCATTGTCAATAAAACTTCTCCCGACAGCGACTGGGCACCCGCCCTACCAGTGAAACTGTTTGTGCACTCCGATCGCACACGTACTCCCCCGGTATAGCGCGAGCAATGCAATTGTCGAAATCACCAGAACATCGAATTCAGCTCGAGTTGGGATATGCTTGTGCTTTTGTTGTTTATGATGATGTGCTACTTGTCTGTTTTGTTGTTTATGATGATGTATGCTTTGTGCTATGCTTGTGCTACTTGTCTGTTTTGTTGTTTATTGATGTATGCTTGTGCTACTTGTCTGTTTTGTTGTTTATGATGATGTATGCTTGTGCTACTTGTCTGTTTTGTTGTTTATGATGATGTATGCTTGTGCTACTTGTCTGTTTTGTTGTTTATGATGATGTATGCTTGTGCTACTTGTCTGTTTTGTTGTTTATGATGATGTATGCTTGTGCTACTTGTCTGTTTTGTTGTTTATGATGATGTATGCTTGTGCTACTTGTCTGTTTTGTTGTTTATGATGATGTATGCTTGTGCTATTTGTCTGTTTTGTTGTTTATGTATGTATGCTTGTGCTACTTGTCTGTTTTGTTGTTTAATACTTTCTTTAGAAAAATGTTGACACCACTCTGTACGTAATCTAGTTCGGACAATCAAGTTGTTAACACCAAAAGCTATAATCTTCATAATTGGCATAAAATGACTTGTATTAGAGAGCCTGACCACCCATGGCCTTCAATCACCTCGCATGACAAGCATTACTCATACCCTACTCAGCAATCTTTGAACCTTGAGTCCAGTATTTGAACCTTGAACCCACTCACAAGCTACCCCTTGCATCATGCACCCCACCTACCCAACACTTCCTCAACATTCCTCCACTATCATGCACTAACCCCAAACAAATCCCCTTCCCAAATGTTTTGATGATACATGCAAGAAACATTGACAACCCTCGTTTGTACCTTGATCCATCTTGGGCACTCCTCTACCCGGAAATCATTTATCATTCATAAACCCCAACCCCCAACAACAACCCCCCATCCCTACACACACACCTCCCTCCCTCCGGCTCTCATCCCTATCCCCCTCCCTACACCCCCTATCCCCACCACTCCCTACACCTCACCCCTATTCCCATCCCTCCCTACACCTCACCCCTGTCCCCAACCCTCCCTACACACCTCACCCCCTTTCCCCAACCCTCCCCTATCCCTCCCTACACCTCCCCCACCCTTGTAAGATAAGTAGTAGGGTGATCACAGATGTACTAAGTGACCTGCTATCGTCAATCAGGACTGGGAGCTGTGATGTGTGACAGTAGTGTCTGACTCTATCCACCCCGGGGCTGTTACAGGGTAATATGCTGATAGCAACAGCTGACATCTTCATCCATGGAATGAATGACTGCAGTTTGTGTTCATTCATGCTTGATCATTGATCTGTAGTACTGACTGACTGAGTTTGGTTTTACGCCGCTTTTAGCAATATTCCAGCAACATCACGGCGGGGGACACCAGAAATGGGCTTCACACATTGTACCCATGTGGGGATTCGAACCCGGGTCTTCGGCGTGACGAGCCAATGCTTTAACCATTAGGCTACCCCACCGCCCCGATCTGTAGTAGAATGTTCCCTCTCATAGTTGGAAGCTGTTGCTATTTGCTTAAACTATTCATATCTCGACAATCACATTTTAGAAACAATTTCTTTATGTTGAAGTCACATAACAGGCAAATAAACTGATATTCCATGTCATATAACACTAACATTCCATGTCATATAACACTAACATTCCATGTCAAATATCACTGATATTCCATGAAAAATAAATCTGACATTCCATGTCAAATAAAACTGATATTCCATGTCATATAACACTAACATTCCATGTCAAATATCACTGATATTCCATGACAAATAAAACTGATATTCCATGTCATATAACACTAACATTCCATGCCAAATATCACTGATATTCCATGACAAATAAAACTGATATTCCATGTCAAATAACACTAACATTCCATTCCAAATATGACTGATATTCCAAAACAACTAAAACTGATATTCCATGTCAAATAAAACTGATATTCCATGTCATATAACACTAACATTCCATGTCATATAACACTAACATTCCATGTCAAATATCACTGATATTCCATGACAAATAAAACTGATATTCCATGTCAAATAACACTAACATTCCATTCCAAATATGACTGATATTCCATAACAACTAAAACTGATATTCCATGTCAAATAAAACTGATATTCCATGTCATATAACACTAACATTCCATGTCATATAACACTAACATTCCATGTCAAATGTCACTGATATTCCATAACAACTAAAACTGATATTCCATGTCAAATAAAACTTATATTCCATGTCATATAACACTAACATTCCATGTCATATAACACTAACATTCCATGTCAAATGTCACTGATATTCCATAACAACTAAAACTGATATTCCATGACAAATAAAACTGATATTCCATGTCAAATAACACTAACATTCCATTCCAAATATGACTGATATTCCATAACAACTAAAACTGATATTCCATGTCAAATAAAACTGATATTCCATGTCATATAACACTAACATTCCATGTCATATAACACTAACATTCCATGTCAAATGTCACTGATATTCCATAACAACTAAAACTGATATTCCATGTCAAATAAAACTGATAATCCATGTCATATAACACTAACATTCCATGTCATATAACACTAACATTCCATGTCAAATATCACTGATATTCCATAACAACTAAAACTGATATTCCATGTCAATTAACATTTAGGGTGGTGCTTGGCTGAATGGTTAGGGTAGTGATGAGGGGGTGTATGACTGTGGAGTCAGGTTATACAGGTGACAGATGCAGGCTAGGACCTTGTATATAGTAAATATTACATTTGTGTATCATTCATAGTTTCCACAGGTCAGATGACAACAACATGTAGTCATCACAACCAAATGAACAATTGAAAAGTGATTCATCACTGACAGTGACCCCTCCATGTCAGACAAGGATTAACAGCTGTGTTTCTCCGGGACAAATTCAACATGCCTCACATACAACATGCCTGAAAGTTACTAGCCCACAGAATAATTCCCAAGCCCGAAATTTGAATGTAAACAATGGTTTCATTATTAAGCTGCTGATATGATGAACATTTCTATCAGGCCATAATCTTACTTGATTTAAAAGTGTATTATAACTTAACAAGTTGGATTGATATATTTACAAAATGACCCCATGAAAATTCACTTGCCAGTCGGGCCAGTCACTGCAGAGATTTACTGGCCCGACTGGATTTTTACTAGCCATGGGCTAGCGGGCCAGTGGTTATTTCGGACACTGAGTGCTTGTACAGTTTGACTGTTCCTTAAAGAGAGGCATGCTTCTACAACCTGACAGTCCCTTAATAGATGGGGTACAGGAAGAGTGGGGGCATCCCCCATACCACCTTTGGCAAATTTCCAAATCAAAATTTAAAAAAAAATTAATTATGCAATGCTAACACCGCCTTCAGGTTGTCCTATCTTTCAGTCAAAATCACCCCTCTCTTGATCAACACCAAATGGCTTTGCTGGCCTGTGTGTGCATA